GTCAATTGACTCGTCTCGGAATAGACAAGAAAGAATAAAGACTTGCATGGGAAGTATCCATCTACATACTCCAATCCGTTCTCTTTTCTCTATTTCCTAGACAAACAGCTACGGATGCTACATATGAATATACACGCTTTGAGTCCAGCGAATTGGTGTTCGAGATCCGATTGGCGGCTGGCTTTCGGATACTCCTTGCTAACTTTTTTACCTGCCGAGAGATATCTCAGATTGAAAAGTTCATGAACGGACTTCATTGGTGTAATCCCTCCCGGCCGCCGATGTCAGGGGTATGTACGCCGCAGTCGAGCTGAGAAGACAATGACGAGAATTCTCTCTCTTATCGAGCTTCTCGCTCCTTTATCCTACCGTATCGGTCCTCTCGAGCTACGCTAGTTTTTTTTCGTCCTCCTTCCCTCCCTATCTCTGCCTCTTTTACTCACTGTCGAACGACAACAAATCGCTACTTCTGCCGGAGCACAGGCACCGAAGGCAACTCTCCATGGGGGGCAAAAGAGGACCAAAGGAAAGCAGAACAGGCACCGTGCAGTCAACACAAACGATTTATGAATAAAAATTTCGACGAAGGAGTTCGAGCGTCGATGGCGGCGTCGACGGAAAAAAGGGCAACTGTCACGAGAATATTCGATAGTCGTCAACCAAAGTGCTTTCCCAGTGAATTTTTCTCTTTTCTCACAAGGAGAGCGGCTCCAAATCGAAGTATACGAAAAAGCTTTGCAGCAGAGTGCAGAAATCCTTGAGCTTGATCAATGGAAATTTACCTCCATCTCCAGCGCGACCAATTTTGCATTCCAAGCCAAAGGCGATTTCGAATTCTCAACACAAGGTCCGAATCGACGGCAATCGACACCCAACTTTTCGCCCCGTTTCATTTCAACGGCGATAGCTCGTGTAGCTCGGGCAGATATATTGTCTTCTGCATTGTGTTCGTTCTCAAGCTAGTTATCGGCACACGGCCGTATCTCCCATCAATTGCCTGACACTGCAGCTTCCAACCTCGTAATCATCGTTGATGTTCTCGATGGACATGGACGAGACGATGGAAACTGGAAAGACCCAACATCAATCAGGTCTCAGGACCGTTGAATGCTCCGGGTCGTCCAGATGTTCATTGGAGAATCGCGTCCGACGTCTGGAATTCTCCGGAATTCTGGGCAAAGCGTCGGTCGGACGGTGGAAAGACCAATTTTCCGTCGACTGACTGAGTCACGCTGAGGCTCGCGATCGAATACATCGATATCGTGACTTTGAACAGAAGAGAACAATAGAGAGATCTGCGATCGAGCTTTGCTCGAACGGAGCAATGAAGAGCTGCAACGAGCTCCTATTGATCGCAGTCCCAGCGTGGGAGTTCTCTGCGGACATCTGAGCTTGATCGAATCGAATTCGCTCCAGTGGAATATCTTGCGCGAGTCCACTGCCCTCGGAGTCAGATGGGGCGAAGCTCCGCTGGTTCGATCTTGGACGCTGCGCGGTTCTCAACCCCATATTTCTTTATGGCTCCAGCAACGTCACGTCCCAATCCGTAATCAAGGATGGGGTCAGGGAGCATAGCCGGTCTCTGTTCATCATTCTCGCTCTTGCGATCCTTGTAGACAACTTCGCATCCAGTTTATTCCACCACGTGCTGAAAATGAAAGCGAAGAAAAAGACAAAACTAGTCGAGAGCGGAGAAGCGAACCACCCGAGCAACCTCCGCCGCTCATGTGAGTGGTCACGACTCATTCCCACGACCGGGCGGTACCTCCGACAACAAGTTTCCGAAACGAGAAAACTTGCGCCTGGAGCCTCTGTTGCTCAAACAAACGATCAGGGAAGAGCGAGAAGAGTTCGTTGCTCTACTTCTGTGCCTTTCTCTATTTTCCATGGTCGTTGCGGGAACGGTCGACAGGGGAAGCATGTTTGACGAAAGCAGTGGCATCGAGAGCAGAATGGACACAAAGCCGGCCCATAACGACTCCGAGCGAGTCAGCATTAGCCGCTGAAAAACCTCCGAGCGGGCGTTTCAGTGTGGACGATTCCGTTCAAACACCAACAGCCATCATCGCCGGTCGGCAGCACCGTCGTCGGTGGCTTGGACAGTTAGGCAGCGGCGGCCAACCTGCCAGCAGAAATCCGACCAGACAGATAGAGGCCTACTGGTCGTGACGAACCTCTTGCCTGCGTACTTTCTTGCTCGCTTACTCTCCTAGCCACCGCTGTCTCCGGTCGACCGACTCACTCTCTCTCGTGAGAGCCCCCTGACATCAAGTCGACGACGATGAAGAAGAAGATGAAAAGAGAAGCTGCTTCTTTAGTCTCTTTAATAACGGAACAATCTTCGGTGCTGCTGTTCCCGCTCTCTGCGAATGATCGAGGCTGTCGCTTTCGACGAAGCTCGGTTCTGCCGTCCGTTGAACGGACGATCGTCGATGGCATGGACGGTGGCCACGGACCCGGCCATTGCTACCCATAGTCTACCTCGATCTGGCCCCCTACTTAAATTGTATTAAAGAGACCCCTCGATTAGCTACCCGCAGTATTATTGTGTTTTAATTGACGAGACCTGGAGTGACGGAACTCATTAGCGAGGGATTCTTCGCGGGTAGGCGTAATGCCTGCTCGAGAATCGATTCGGCTCGCGCGCATCCGTACTCATCGATGAGTCATCGTCGACGCCTGAATTTTCCGCGAAATCTCCGTTTGAAACAGGACGAGCAGCGGACGAGTCGATCTCGCTCATTCATCCGTGACACGGACAGTACGCATTGGCATAGCTTTCGAACGCGCGACGAGCCGCGGATTTGACTAAATCTGTAACCGACGGAAACAGAGCTTGGCAGCGATGCAGACCCCGTCGACCGACAGCTAATTTCACGTTCATTTATTCGGGGCGAGCACAATCGGTACCGATAGCGCTTTCTTGCCGTGCTTCTCCCGAAGCAGCATCTGACCCATGGGAGAACGAGACCCGCTCGGAGACATTTCCGTATAAATGGTCGAGCAGTAGCGTTCTGCAGCCACGACAAGAATCGGATTCGATTTGGGAGGGATTTTGTTGCGCGGAAGCGCCGTCGTCGGGGCCACCGTGTGGTGGACGGCCCCGGTGCTTTTCTCGAGATTCACCTCACCAAGTCTCCCCTCGCGTATTAATCCTCGAGTAGAGCACAGCTGATACCCTCAGCAAGCGAGAACGCGGGTCGGACCATGGAGGAAAGAAAAACATCGGAAATTATTCTTTGCGTGTTCGCTGTCAGAGTGGGCAGGCAGGTGTGTAAGCTCGGCTGGTTGTTGTTGCTGCATCACCTTATCGGGTCTGCCGCCTCTCTCTGATATCGGTCCGAAAGAGATCATTGCCGGGGGAAACGTCGAACGTCGTCCGTTGGCCTTGAGCTTGTCTCGGAGAACACGTTTGTACGCAGTCTGCTGTACAATCCGATTACTTCTGGAATGAACCCCTGCGCCCACCCGAGTCTCGGTAGAACAGGAGCGACAGGGGAATAAGATTCCCGGACGAGACGCACCGTAGCCGTAATATCGATCCGGGTCTCCACCAGGCAACAAGGCCAAACGTATCAACCAATTCCAGAACCCAGGCGGCGTCGGAAACCTCGACTGAATGACGACTTAGAGTCGCATTCGTGATCGGACGCCTCCCTCCTTTGATGAATATCGGGACAGCGGTTCCCCGCGGGGTCTGCGTCGTAGGCTACCGCTATCATCGCACGTCCGGGAAGATGATAGGTAACCCTTGACGGCGACCCTATCGACGACGTCACGACCGGCGTGGAAGTGATCTTGATGTCTGTCATGACTGGTTTCATCAAGGTGATGATGATGATCATCGAAATAAGTTAGTGCGTTCCGACGGAAAGCCGGAATATCACCCACATTCACGCGATCCAGTCTACCTCGGAACCCTCCGTCTTCGCACTTAAGGAGGAGCTCGACCAGACCTTCATTCGTGGGGAACAGTAGATTCGCCCGACATATCCTGGAACTCGCGGTAAGGCATCTCTTTATATCGATTGCGAATCACCTGTCTCGTTAGCGGGAGGAAGCGTTGGATTAGGCTTATTGCATCACATCATCGATGGTTCCCGACGATCGATCGGTTCCGCGTAGAAACGCACTGCCTAGAAGATATATCTCCCTCGATTCTGGTTTCCGACTCCCTAGTCTGGATCTATGGACAACAACCTGTCGGCACCCGAGGTACGATTTTGAGCCCCGGAAGCCGAGAGTGGTCGTAGAAAAGAAATGAGACCCAAGTTTCACCCCGCTCCTGTGTATCCTGCCGGAGAGAACTGCCGACAGCTGTGATGATCGGCTCAAGCTAACGCTATCCCTATCGAATTATGAACACAAGCGATTTTCCGAGGGAATGAGTTTATTGAGTTTGTAGCAAGCACTTCCCAACAAGATTCCCTGATTCAACTAACCACAGTCGATCTTTAACTGAATTGAGCCCCTAGGGTTCGTGTTGTGCATCGGAAAACATGTACAAATATTATTATGAATGCGAACGGATACTATCGCTCACGTCTTATATTACTGAATTGGCTGGCGATCACTAGCTCGTAATAAGTTCTTCTTGAGGATACATCGATTCTCATTCGATCCCTCCGAATCACCGGATAGATTTCTGGCGGGTATTAACAGCAAGGTCGGAAACCAGATTTTAGGCTCACTAATCGTGCAGGTTGCGACAGATAGAGCGCGTCATCTCGGGACTCGCCATGCCTTCCGGTCTGAAGCAGATCGAAGCCTCCTGCGGAGAGAGTCGCATGTATTGCGAGAACTGCAATCGGGAGCGAGCGAGCAATTGCCGACGAATGAGATCCTATCCTCTCTAGAGTATTCTATCGATCCGTCGGAGCTTTCTCATATCTCACTGTTGACATTTCCCCCCGCAGAGAAGTTGGCTTGATCGAGAGCCCTTCGCAATGTTACCGGGTTGAATTACGATTCCGCATTCGCGAGAATTTTCGCTGCCTGCTTCAATGACGGCGGTCGTCGTGGTCGTAGGTACCGGCCAGAATGTCCGGCTTATTAGCTGGTGGGGGCGGAGGCGACGGCCTATGGCAGATATGCGGTGAACCCATTGCTTCGATTTTAGTTGCATAAATGTTCTCACAATCGTCGTTCATTTTGGTGATACCCCAATTCCGTTGCAAATACAACTCCTTTATCTGTTGAGTGGTCGCACATCTCGGAGGAATAGCCGGCGGCGTCATCGGGGCATGGGGAGGTGGTGAGTTAGTGGTGGGTAGCGCATCTGATCGTCCCTTGAGCTTGTTTCTTTCAGCTTGCTGCTGTTGAGCTTTTTTGAACATTCCTTCGGTAATGTCCGGTGCGGGTGGTCTCGGTGGTATATCGCGTTTCGATGGCGGCGACGGAGTGCCCGAAACGTCCCGCGGTATGCACTGAGGGGACGAATTCCGATTCCGCATGGGTTTCGTTGGCGTTCCCGGAGTGACCCGGCTCGGGATATCGCTAGCAGATTTCCGAGGTAACGTCGACGAAAGGAATATTGTTCTAGGTTTAGGCGTGGGATTCTCCCTCGGCATCGCGATTGGAGCGGGCGGAAGCGGAACGGCAGCGACAGGCGGCACTCGCTGAGATTCGGTTTCCTCCTCGCCGCTCTCAGGATTCGATTCTTCACTTTCTGAGAAATAAACGGTTTGGTCGGGCATGACTGAATTCCGCTGAATGTCGCCGTCGGTCGGCTGCTGACCACCGTGTTTGAGCAGGAGCTCGAGCCATTTGAGCATGTCGGCTTGCTCGGAGGCCGCGAGGTAAAACGAAACCGTCGGATGTTGCAATTTGAAGGGGAATTTCCTCGTCGGACCGCATTCCGGGGCAGACACCACCGAGAAGCCGGGGAGGAAAACGAGGCACGCCGCACGCGTTTCGTGTCGACTCCTGAACAGGTAAAGATAGGAGTTCTTGAGTATTGCCCATCGCTTGTGCCACTTCTTCGGGCAGCTCTTCGGCCGCAGATAGAGCCAGCCTTGTAGGTCGGCGGGCAGCAGCGACTCACTCGAAACACAGCGACTCGCGAAAATTTTTTTCAGGGGCGAAGGAAGACTCGGCGAGACGGGAACCGGCAGCTTACGCGCTCCCTCTTTGTTCCGACAGGGAGCGCTTCCAGTTTGAACCTTCGGCGTAGGTAAGGAACGTCTACCTTGAGAAGCTTCTGACAGCATCTGATGAGAATGATGATTATGCTGCTGCTGATGATTATGATGTGCAGGGAATTGTTTCACTTTTGAGGGGAGATCATGCGAAACGCTACGCGTCACGTGCTCCTTGACGCACATATTTTTCCTAGGCTTAGCGAGACCGAGGCGGTTGCTATCGATGCTGTCGACCAAATCTTCGAAGCTAACAGGTGGTTTGGAAACTGTCGGCGACGCACAGGTGACCGTCGCGCGTCGTTGTAGAACGGGTCTCTTGGGCTTAACCTGTGATCGAAGCTGCAGAACCAAATTATGACCGTTCTCCGTTTCGCCACCGGACGACGGTTCGGGCAGAAAAGCATCGTCGTCAGCTTCGATTTCGCGCAGAATCCGCGGACTCGTGGGCTCCGGTTCCAGGAGCCCGTCTTCCTCGGTAATGGCCAGCTGCTGCTTCTCGTACGAAATTCGGTTGATGGGGATCTTGTGAGGTTTCAGATAAACCATCTGGCCGAAGAGGTTCGAGTGACGCGGTCGCTTCTTCAGTGTTAGCTTGATGTTCGTGATGTGGTTTTGCAGCAAGCTAAGCATGTGCTCGAGAGTCCATCCGAGGACAGTCTGCAGGTTAATTTGAACTATTTCGTCACCTTCTTCGACTTTCGCGCAAATTTGCACGGGACTTTGGTACCTGACTTTCCCGACGATGTGCACCCCGCCGTACTTGGTGGTGATCTGCATTCCCCAATCGTCCTCCTGTCGAGGTTTCCTCGCCGTCACCACTTCCAAGGACGCGGGTTGAATTATGAGCGAGTCGGCGTACTCCTGCACAACGAAATCACTGATTTCTGCGAGACACAAGCATTTCTGCTTAATCAATTCCAGTGGGTTCGCAACGAAATGGTCTCTTTGGGCCGTGGACGCAAGCTCCAACGCCAGCTGGAGAACCGTTTTCCTAGTCTTCAGGTACTGATCCTGACCTTTGAAGGGCGGTCTGTCGATCCAGAAAATGAATTGCTTCACCGCAGAGATGAGTTCGCAGGCAGCCGCGAGGATTTCATTGCTGATATTTTTTGGTTGTGGGTCGCTTTGTCTCGTGAGAATTTGAATCTGAATGTGGAGACTGCGCGCATGGCATCCGACCCTCAGCGCCAACGACTGCAAATTCTCCGTGACGAGGTTGTAGTGGAGATGACGGAGATTTGCGACCGATTCCAAGATCGTTTCTTGGTGACCGATTTTCGTGATGCCTATCCGTGCCAGGTCCTCACAGGTGAGCGTCAGCAAGCGGTGTCCGTCGATCCGGTGCTTGAGAAAACAGTGGATGTACGGATAGACGAGGTTATCCACACCGCGTGCCCACTCCACGACGTGTTCGGGAGTCCATTCGGCGATATTGATGTAGGCCATCGCGTGGGTTTTTCTGTGAGAACGACACCCCGATCACATTCACTGGTTAACGGAAGTTAACGACGTCGAAGCACAAACTGGAATCCACACTCGGCATGGGACGCGAGAGAAACGCGCAACACGGCATAGCACTGTTCAGAGAAAACGTTCCGTATGCTCCGGCTAACGAACAAACATCGAAGATCTGACTTGGGTCGACGAGGTCCCAGACCGTCTTACTCCGAGTCGCCCCTGAGTTCGACTGATGACGATGCGATCGCCCATCGACCAAGCTGCCGCTGCTGCTGCTGCTACCCCGCCGTTCGCAACATGCACAACAGTAGCATCGAGCATTTCTAGCGATGGACAAACAGTCAACGGCGACCGGTTGAGAGAAAAAGGGAGAGGATTCCCGGTGCGCACCGGCCCCATCGTCGGCGGCCGCTGCTCGCCATGAGGAGCTTTCTCCACATTTTGGCGGTCTCTCACTTGCTCACTAGGTCGGTCGATCGCTACCTCTCCTCCCGCGGCTGCTGTCGCAGGTCCACCCCGCCGAGGACAAGCGCTCGGACCACGCATTCGACAGGTGGAAGAGGAGTCCTCCGAGCTGTCGGAAAAAAGGTTGCGCTAGCCGATGGAGACGTCTCCGATTCGTTTTTTTTTTCGAGGCACATCGAGCGCGGAAAACTAGTATTTGACGCGCCGGATTGGACTTATCTCGTTCTTCTGGGCGATCGCAGAGACTTTCGAGATCGCTGCGTATCGTGCGATGGCTCCGCGGTTCTAAGATAGGTTCGGGCAATTTGCAGCGCCGTCCTTCAGGAGCCTGAATTATATTGAGCACACAAGCCTCGGATACTCGAATCCGCAGGTGCTTCGAGAATCCATCAGTTCGAACAATCGATCTGAAGGCCGTCGCTTGGAGCTACACAGGTAGGATTGGCAGGGCCCAATCGGGACGTGGCTCGACGGATTCCGCGGGAAAGGCGCCTTTGGGAGCGGGTGTCTTGAGATCTTCTACGTAGTGAGAACTGTGGCGCTTACCTTCATCACCGTTCTTCCGGCTCGCGATTTTAATGATTCGAAACTCGAGCCGGACATTCGAGAAAAAGTTCGAAGCTAAGAGAGAACTTGCAGGAACCGGGAGCGAGACCATCGGAGAGATCATCGATTTTATGATGGCTCATGTCAATTTGTCGAAACGATGACACATGGAGTACGTGCTCAAGAAGAGACAAACGAGATCGATGAGCGGGCACTATTCTTCGAGACTCCGCGGTGTAACAGTTTTTACCTGTATCCTTTGATGGCAATTCGTGCGTCTGCCCGGATGCAGTATGCTTCACTTGAGGGTATCGGCTGTGCCGGTGAGTGGAGATTATGTAGTTGATCTCATCCCGAGTGAGACTCGGTCCTCGTCTGCCTGAAATTTCTACTGAACCCAGGGTTACTTCGAACTTCTTAACAGAATTCCCAACAAATAGATGATTCTTCGACAGTTCATGTTCTTGGTCACTCTATCGGAGGATGGCTCATTGGGAGGGACTTTCGGTGGCAAGTTCGACGCTGTGAGTGCTATCCGATGGGTTTCCTTATTAGCGATATCTCTAACCGCCTGACGAGCATTCGCCTCGTGTATAGTCTCGTTCTCCATCATACAGGCAGACTCGTTGCTTCAGTTTCGAAGAATTAGCTCGGAGAATCAGCCCTTTTCTGATGGAATCTTGATTCAAGGTGTGCAGAATGATGAACACAACTTATAAGGCGAGTCTCCCTTCGGACCATTCTTGGGGTTCGTGCAATCAAACGAAATGCTCGGGGATGTTTGCTGCAGTGCTGCAGAATGTAAGATTTCCTACGTACCTCCCCGTGATGAAAAATATCTAGCTCGGATTTCTCCGAGGTCAAGCGCATGTTTTCCTCATAGGAGACTGAGGTCGCTCTCGGACCGCATTCCTTGCTCGAAACATATGCCCAGCACTTCGAACCTGGGAGCCCGCTCGACTTCCGGGCATTCAACATCATAACAGGTGTCGTTGAGTCTTCGATAAGATTTATGATGAGGAAACCCCGCGCTCGGATTCCTGGAGGCAGTTCATCGATTTCGCAGGCATGCACACTCCCTACGCGGTCGACTCAAGCGCAGTGTTGAGACTGCTGGACACTGGAATGTACATCTGCCTATTCGTCTCGCCATGGATGATTGCCGTTTCCGTGGTTGTCACTGTGTGGCTCCAGCAGCGGACGACGGATGAATCGTCGCATAAGCCGATTCCTCTAGACTTCGGCGTCCTCGTAATATCTGGTTACCAGACAATATTGAGTCAAAGTAAATCGCCGTATTCGATTCAAGTATTGACAGTCTCATCATGAGCTGAAAAATTATCGCTCAACAACCCACGATCTTCTTCGGAATCTGGTCTGATTTTGCAGGTGGCCAGTACCACAATCGGAGCGCTACGAGCCGCCTAATTGTTATCGCATTCATTTTGGTGTGTCTGTTCGTGAGTATCCTGTTCTCATCGTTCATCAAAGCTTCCATGATGAACAAGCCGCCAACAAAACGGATACTCCACCTCAGGGATCTGGTCAAGGAGAGAGATTTGAGACCGATCATTGTGAAAAACACGTACTTGACTGACCTTATAGAGGTATGCCAGCATTCCAATGTACTCCGTAGGTTCCTCTCGGAGACGAGTGGCTATGATGTGCTGCGCGTTCGCTCCAAGGAATCGTGTGCTCACGCTCGCGGGTACCTTCACAGCTCCAGGCAGAGGTCAGCAGCGACTACCGGGCGCTCAATAGAATATTCGAGGAGAAAGGATTATTGAATCGACCGAGCGACATGCTCTCTTCGGAGAGTACAGGGGCGGTTTTGAACGGGAGCGCGTTCGCATTCGCTCCTTGTGAAATGTTCCGCTTCTATTACTACCGCGGCTGGCAAGCCTTGAAGGAAGCCGACCGGGGATACTATCACTGCTCGAAGGATGTCGTTATCGCAGTGCATGTGACATGGTACTTCAGTCGAGTCTCGGTTTCTAATGACTTCATCAAGGAGTTCAACCGGAAGTAAGTCCCCCTTCCCCCTTATCGCCAGGGAAAAGTGCAGGATTAATGAGCTCTCATCAGAGCCGCTTGAAGGTCACGCAGTGGTGCACTTCAAATTACAGATCGCGATGGCTCGTCGAATCACCGCAGAAGTACGTCGACGAGTACCGTTTCCCTCAGATACCTATTTGGTACAGAGTGTACGAAACGCCTCTGACAGAAGAAAAAGCGGATCCGATCGCTCTACACGATATGCTCGGCTCTGTTCTCATCTATCTGAGCGGCCTAGCCTTGGCCTGCGTTTCTCTCCTTCTGGAGCTGACAGGAAAACAACTCGAAATCGCACTGAAGATCATCCACAAAGGGGATGATCCGTTGTCGAGGCTTCGAGACTCCTTCCGGTGCGGTTTTCTCCGAACGGGATAACCGGCGGCTCACCGGAACAATGTTCCAGGTTCTCGTGAAAAATACAGAATTGTCGTCTCGGTGCATGAGTATGGGTCTTCTATCCTTCATGTATCTTTCATAATCTTTATGCTCATCATAATTCTGAATGCATATTTGAGTGTATTCGCTTATCTTTGTGTGTCCTCATGTATATTTATGCATATTTATGCATATTTATGCATACTTATGTATATTCATGAATATTTATGTATACTTCTGCATATTTATGCATATTTATGCATATTCATGTATATTAAGTATATTTATGTATGTTTATGCATATTTATGTCTATTTATGTATGTTAGGTATCTTCATGTATATTCGAGTATCTCAAGTATCTCGAGGTATCTTCTAGTACCTTTATGTACCTTCATGTGGGGGGCTAGAGAGCTTGCGAATTATGGAGCTTCCAAGTTTTAGGGCCGAATACGTTTACCCCATCGGCACCAATTCCGTGTCTCCGGTATGGCAGTATCATTCACCTGCTTTGATATCTATTGCAATTCTCCGTGACCCTTGAGGGATCATCGCATATGCTCAGCGCTGTTTTCTGATCCTTGCTTCAAAGATGCGATCCTTGCGGGGAAACCCCCGCCCGTTTGTGCCTCGATTGCGCGGGCCCGATATTCATTGCCGCGAGTTCCGGTGTCCGGAATCTGGAGGCATAGTTCCCGACTTCGTGCAGCTGGAACTTATGTCGGTTTCGGACTTCTTTCTCAATCATTCTGCGTCACCCGATCGACCTCGTCGAAGCAATCACCCGGAGCCTCAACCCGAGTCCCGAATCCTTAGATGTCATATATTCCTCGGGGATATGATATCGCTCTGTTCCTCAGCATTTCGAAGAGCATGTTTTTGATCGTTTTGCCTCGAGCTACACCCTCCCACTAAGGACTAGAGCGTAGTTCTACGTTTATGATTCTCGTGACGGACCAGCTCCCACATCCGCAGCCGCCGTAGCTTCTAGCTACAAGGATCCTTGTACAAATTCTGGCGATCTCCTGTGGCACAAGTAGCACCAAAACCCATCGCGCTGAGAGTCGGACTATTTAGGCGGTTCTTTCCGATTCTAGGGACCTTTGAAATCCTATCGTATAATACGGCACGAGCGACCCCAATCTGCTTGTTTCCAATCCTGGCGCCGGTCTCCTGCCCAGCTCAGCTCATACGTCAAAAGCTTCCGGAAGCTTGAGTCCGGAGGTGATTCGGAAATCAGTCCCATCGAATGTCTCGGTTGGAGCGCACGCGGCTGACGCTGCAGAGCTGAGAGGAGCTCCCTCGGAACTTGATAGATCACGCGTCGCTCAGGCTGTTAGCTGTGAGTGGGCGATCGAGGTATGCCTATTCCGGGAGATACTACGCCTGAAATCATCGCGATCGATCGGGGCGCACCGATTTCGCGCGGATGGTCAGGTGAGCGAGAAGGTAGTTCCGCGCACAGAGTAAGGGCTCAAAACGCAATGTCGTTGCGTTGTACGACTCCGGGCCAAGGAATCCCGACTCGAAGTCCCTGCCCTCCGTCAGATTCTTCCGGAACTGCTGAGATCGAGTATTCCATTCTAATGGATTGAGCCGAGTACATGCAGAGAAATGAGAGTTCCAGCGAGGATTCAGGGGAATCTGACGCGAAATCATCAATACAGTGATGTCTCATGTCAAACTGTCATACGAAGAAGAACTGAGTTGGCATTCAAGGAGAGACGAATCAGATCGATGACGAGGGTCTCATTTTTTGGAACTTTGCGGTGTATTTGTCTTATTAGTATGGCTCGAGGGCTATTCGTGTGGGTTGCCAGACGCAGTATGCCCCGCTTGAAAGTGTCAGCTTTGCCGGTGAGTGGAAATAGCGCGCTCCATCGAATATTTGAGGAGAAAGGATTACTGGAGCTCCCGAGGGATATGCTTTCCCCGGATAGTAGTGCGTCAGTTCTCAATGGGAGCGCCTTCTCCCTCTCCCCGTGTAATTTGTTCCCCTTCTATTACTACCGCGGTTGGCAAAAGCTGAACGAAGCCGACCGAGGATATCATCACTGCTCGGAAGATGCTGTCGACTCCGCGCATGTGTCGGAAGACTTCATCGAGGACTTCAATCGGGAGTGAGTCGATCTCCACCCTCATGCTCCGTCCACCCCAAAAAGTGTCCTAGATATGTACTTTAATCCGTCAACCGAGACTGTGTATAGCAAGAGTGCACTCGCCCGATGGCAGATCGCGATGGCTGAATGAATCATCGCAGAAGTTCATCGACGAGTACCGCCTTCCTCAGATACCCGTCTGGAACACAGTGTACGATACGCCATTGACAGATGAAAAAGCAAATCCCATTGCCTTACACGAGATGCTGGGCTCTGATTTCATCTATCTCAGCGGTTTGGGTGGAGCATGCATTTCTCTCATTTTGGAGTTGAGGGGGATGAGAGCAGAAAATGACTACGCGGTTCCCCCCCGCGTCCTATCCCGACAGGGCAGGCGGGAGAGGGCTTGTTTCCTACGGTCGCTTCTCTGGGTGTCCTACCGCGGTTCCTCCTTGAGGATGAGATCCTCGTTCACGACCGTTTCCGTGAAAGGCAGAAACGAGAACTATTATTCCCTCCATCCCGGGCGACACCGAAAATCGAGTCGTCGTCAGAGCGATCACCCAGTAGGAGGGGGAGCGAAGCCGACTATGATTAAATGATTCGTATCATGAATTTACACCATTAGAATCATGCAGCTCTTCCAGCATGGATGCGCTGTTGACGGACGCGGACTCGCCGGAAGGGAGCCGAGTCAGACTCCGAGTCCCGAGTTCGGACTTGATGGGATGATTCGGAGGACAGCCAGCCATTCGATCTGCGAGTAAAGCATAGAGCTCAAATGCTCTCTTCAACAGACACGGGATTCTCAAACGACTGGGACTCGTCGAAGAGTTCTCGCGCACCCCCTAAAGTGGTGATTTTGAGAAACTGTTCTATCATAGATACATTACATCACGCGATATTCGCTGGGGATGCTTGCCGTGAACGTGCCCTCGAAGAAGGCGAATGTCGCGACTTCGGAGGAGCGTTGGGATAGGGTCCTACAATGTTTTCGTTCACAAGCCTGGAGCGTCATGAAAATGGGGTGGGGGAGGGGGAGATTCGATTTTTACCTAATCAAAGACGCAGCTCTATATGAGATTCGCACCGTTTGGGAATGATTCATTCATTTCATGGTCGGATGCTTGAACCAGAGGATAAGTTAAGAATCATCGCTAGAGTTTTCCCTTGACGAGGATCTGCATGGACGTTCCGAGATAAGTCCTCCGCAGACAGGCTTGCGGGCGAGCGAAATTTCCGGAAGCTGGCAGAGCTCGGGAATTCCGTGGAAAGCCTGCTTCCAATCAGATACTTTCACACAAAGCATCACATTCTTCTGACTAGTTGAGTGCCTGGTCGGCGGAACGATTCCGATCATGGATCAGGCTTGACTTTGTTCAGCGGGTAACACTTTTTTTCACAGGAGATGGAAAATTCGGCGAAGGAGGTGGATTGGCATCTCGATGCTCTTCTTCGCTTTTGGGCTCTTTCGCAGAAGCCGGAGCAGACTCGGACGTCGCATTCATCGGAAGTTGAAGCCGCTTCGATGATTCTTGAGGCTCGATAGGTACGAAGTGATGATGGTGGTGAAGATGGTGGTGATGGTGGTGTTGATGATGATGATGGTGAGCTTGGGGCTGCGGCGGAGACGGCGGCGGCTGCTGCTGCTGCGGGGATTGACTGTGTTGAGCTGGTGGTGGTGGTGGTTGTTGTTGATGCTGTTCCTTAGGACGGCACGAAGGATCGTGAGAAATGCTACGGGTCACGTGATCCTTACTCCCCATGGTCTTTGCGGGCTTCGCGAGACCCAATCGACTGATTTCGGCGTTGTCGACGAGGTCCTCGAAGCTGACCGGTGGCTTCGAGACTGTGGGAGAGGCACACGTGACAGTCGCGCGACGCTGCAGTATAGGTCGTTTCGGTTTGACCTGTGAACGCAGTTGCAGAACCAAGTTCTGACCGCTGTCGCTCTCGCCGCTGATCGAAGGTTCGGGTAGAAACGCGTCGTCATCCGCCTCGATTTCCCGCAGAATTCGAGGGCTCGTCGGTTCGGGTTCGACGACGGCTGGGAGGCCCCCGTCTTCGGTGTTGGTGAGCTGTTGTTTCTCTTTCGAGACTGGATTGAGCGGAATTTTATAAGGTTGCAAGAACAGCATCTGACCGAATAGATTTGAGTGACGTGGCCGTTTCTTCAGTGTCAAGGTGACGTCGGTTATATGGTTCTGCAGGATGCCCAATACGTGTTCCACGGACCAACCGAGTATCGTTTGCAAGTTGATCTGAACTATTTCGTCGCCTTCTTCCACTTTCGCGCAGAGCTGGACCGGACTTTTGAGTCTGACGCTGCGGACGATGTGGACGCCGCCGAACTTTGTGGTGATTTGCATGCCCCAGTCGTCTTCTTGCCGGGGTTTCCGAGCCGAAACGACTTCGATAGACGCAGGTTGCGTGATCAGCGAATCGGCGTACTCCTGAACGACGAAATCGCTGATTTCTGCCAAACAGAGACATTTCTGCTTAATCAATCCCAACGGGTTATCGGCGAAATGGTCTCGTTGCGCTGTCGAAGCGAGCTCGAGAGCCAGTCGCAAAACGGTTTTTCGAGTTTTCTGATATTGTTCTTGGCCCTTGAACGGGGGCCTATCGATCCACGAGATGAATTGCTTCACCGATGAGATCAATTCGCAGGACGCCGCCAGGATTTCGGTGTTGATGTTCTTGGGCTGGGGAACGCGAAGAATTTGGAGCTGGATGGCGTTGTGGAGACTGCGGGCATGACAACCCATCCGGAAAGCTAGCGATTGGAGGTTTTCGGTCGTGAGGTTATACTGCAGATTATGCAGATTGTCCACAGCTTCGAGAATGGTTTCTTGGTGACCGAGCTTGGTGATACCGATATTCGTCAGGTCCTCCCAGCTCAGCGACAACAGACGGTGCCCATTGATCTTGTGCTCCAGGAAGAGATGCATATATGGAGTAACCCAATTTTCTACGCCTCGCGACCACTTGGCGACGTGCTCCGGGGTCCATTCGCCGATATCGATGTATGCCATTATTTGGAATAAGTAGAAGAATCACAGATTATCTCTTGAGACGAGTTGTCATTAAAGCACTTTCGAACAATCTCCCATCGCGGGGCGGAAGAGCCGCTGACGATAGCACAGGAATTCACTGACTGCGTTCATTGCATTAAGGAGTGCAATAAGCTGCCTCTGGGCTTCCGCATCGATCACTGTTCTCAGAGCTGTGGAACACGAAGCCTGATCGCGGTGAATCGAGTTCCCCTCCCGGAATTACTCGATCAGATCTCACTATGACAACAAAGCAGCTGACGCTCGTCCGTGACAGCGACGAGCATCAGAAGCATGTGACGTGGTGCCCATGCAAAGATCTGGTGGCCGACAGGACCGCTGAGATTGCTGACGACATACCGGTACTCAGCATTGCAGCATTACGGTTCTACAAGTGACAGAACAAAAACGACGGAAGAGGAAGACACAGAATGGTCGATATCTCCATCACAGTGGAGACAGCTTCCTTTGGCGCCAAAATTTGAAATCCTCGATGTGATCATCGTGGATGGGGGTCATCGATGCCGTAGAGAAGGGAGCGCGCGAGATTAGCGGGATCGACTGCGTTCGGCCATCGAAGGCGGCGCTAACATGCCTGAGTGAGATAGTGGGGTGGGGCGATGAGATAGGAAAAAGAATCAGGACCACTGGCGCTTCCGGCCGCAAGCTTCATCTCCGCTTTGCTCAGGAAAGCCTTTGTACCAGTCGGGAAGGAGGTTATCGGGGAGCAGGCTACCATTGCTTTCGAGCTCCGGAAACCTCCACCTTGAAGGGAGCGACGTTCGAGGGAGTAGAGAAAACGATCCTCAACCTTGCGTCGGCGAGATCTGACGCTCATCTTTATTTTATAGTCGCTCTCGACAAGCGAGGGAAATCCGCCTTCCGGTTTCACTTGAAATCAAAAGCGTAAGCTGTCGCATGATTAACTCGAAACTCGAGATGGATCCTTTAATGGTGGTGCTCCCTTCGCATCTTCCTGACATTACGTGTCTCTGTACTACGAGAGCTCGAATCGGAAGGGAGACAATCTGACGTTTCTACCGGCGCTACATCCCAAGTTCTCGAGGTTTCCGCGATGAAGCCATGAATTTGATTTCAATGAAATGCTGGGGTCGATGAGTCTCGCGCAGAAAATCCTCTGGCAGAGGGTTTGCACCGAGACATCAGGAACTGGCTCCGTGGTTCGCGGCCGATAGCATCTCGTCCACGCATGTAATCCAGCTGCTGGTCTCGGAGAGGGAGGTTCCACTGCATTCCACAGATTCGGAAGCTTCGAGTTTCACATCAGAAAACTGAGAATTCACGAAAGTTCCCAGCTCGTGAGACTGGCATGGCTCGGTGCTACTGAGGGGAGTCGCCGGTAGATTGGCGTGCCTGCATCGGATACATAAAGAATGTCATTCAGGCGACGCGTTCATGCTATAAGGCGATAATTCTCACCCCCCTCACCTGTCGAAAGACGGGAGCTTCACAGTCTCCGAGCACTGCGGCGTCCCTTGCCACGCGCGGCATCTTTGATAGTGGGCCATCTGGACGAACGAAGCCAATTGCCTATTTCGAGAAGCGATCGGATATATTCATGTCTTCGTAGAGCAACGAAGTCGGAGTACGACGAGATTGATTGCGATGTCGAAATCATGCCAAGGAACGAAACCTACTTGAGATGTTCTTCAATGTGGGCGGTCAGGACGTCGATATCGGCCGTGAGAAAATTATAGCAGATGCCACATTGGAAAGGCTCCGGACGATACGATCCGCTGGGAGGGCTGTAGGCCCTCAGGTCCATCTTACTGAGTTTTCAGTCGGTAATTCAGTTCATAAGCAAAGCTAAGAATCCCGATGTGAGGAAGCTCTTGTTGGAGCCGATTGCTAGGAGGGAGGGACCGGAAACAAGAGAGCGGTTCGTTCAACGGAACCTAGAGTGCTATTTGATATGTCCTCTCGTGGCTTGAATTCTGAGCATCATCTTACAACTACATTTTTCCGTCTCTCGGCCGGAATCGAATCGCCTGCGTTGAATTGTGGGGAAAACTTTTCGCTCCGAGCAATTTGAGGTCTCGGGCGCGTCTATCCCGATCAAAATACTCTAGACTCTAGATAAGCGAACGCGCAGTGATCCAGCGGAATTTCGAATGGGCCTTCATGTCGTTCTCACTGTACTCTCTGTCTTCGGGGGAAGGAACCGATTGAAAGCTTCGCTGAGATATTCAACGTCCGACGCGGAGCTTGTTTCAGTCGAAGGGGACGGTTAACTCGCGGTGAACTTTCCCTCGAAGAGGCTGATCGCCCGATCTCGTGATTTCCTGAGATCACATGGAAATTCTCGAGAGAGCTCAACGGATTTACCGAATCGGGAGCGGGCTCGGTGGAAAGAACCGATTTCAGTCGCTGAGAATTATCCTGGTCTGCAGAAAGCTTCTTTTCCGAAGCTTGGTCGTGTATTTCCCCGGTCCCCGAATGACCTCGGTTCTTCGGGACCTACACTCATCATCACGGTAAACCGTGACACGGTCGCTTCACACTTTAGGTCCACGGCTACATTCGTCGAGTTCTTCCTATGAGGTCCTTGAAGCGTCCCTAAACAATGCTTTGCGTATGCGAAGCCTAGGAGACCATCTGATCTGCATGCCTGAGCAAGACTCCAAGGAACCTTCCTCGATTTTTTTCGTCTGTGTGTCGGTACAGGAGCACATCATACACCCACTTATTTTAGACGCTGCTCCGTTATGCCAACGAAACGTAGGCTGCCCTCCGTCGGTTGCCTATATGACATTAATGAAATATTATTCTTCAGGCATGTGAGGAGGCTCGGGATCTTCGGAACCTCAGTCTGCGAGCATCTCCACCAGGCGCGTGTCGGTTATTCGTGTCATTTGTGTGGACGAGTTCTGTTCAGAATTTCAAGCCCCAAAATAGCCTCTATCGTTGGAATTAGGATCAGTCGAGTACCGGAAACGCCACGCCAGAAAGTAAAGCTAGCCACGAGTCCGCGAGGCGATACAATACTCTTCTCTAAGGAATCAGAATGCTATGGTCAAATATAGCTCTTGAATTCGATGGAGAGGAAGAGTTTCCCCGGAAGATTTTCCTCCCTGAATGACCAGCGGGGGGCAAAACGAAGGAAACCTCTCTGCCTCTCTCTCATGACATGTGACTGAGAAAAACATTCCTCCAGGAATGATAAAAAATTAAATGCTCCGCTCCCTTCGGATTAAGAATTTCCTTCGCGATGCCCGGTTCAACAAAACGATTTCCTCGCAGACCCACCTACTGTAACGATGACCACTCTCATCGCGCAGCTCAAGAGTCTATAAGGACTGCCTTTCGCCTGCGTACAGAGAGCGTCGAGCCGCACGCGGCACCTTAAGATAATTTCCGAAATCAAGAATATGAACCCGACTGAAACCTGACTATCAACTACAACTCTGCATGATATTCTCGACGACTGTCTCAGACGAGAAAGGACCAAAAAGCCATCGCATGCAGTACAGCTTTTTAGCTCGATCCTGCAGGCGCACCGCAGCCGCCCGGAGTCGGGCCGGGACCGAGAGACCAGCAGTTCGACGGCAATCGCGCCGAAATTAAATCTCGGAAAGCCGAGCTACTGGCCCTCCTAATCAGCGGACATGGAAGCAGGTCTTGATGGTGGTGTGGCCTCCCGTGGCGGCTTCGAAGAAAGAGCAGTCAGTCTAGTGTGTGCAGCAGCGACAGCGGTAGTGGCAGCATCTCCCACAGCTTTCAAGCGGCAAAACACACACACAGACATCGTTTAGTAGTTCGGCTGACTGCGCTGCCGACGAGCGATAGCCGGAAACTCAGTGTTTTCATTCGGTACTTCCGATCGGGTATAGCTAGCATAGGCTGCACGTCAGCTCGAGTGACTGTCCGTATCCCGACAGAGTTTCTAGTCGGTCTCGCCAAATATTCAAGCAGGTGGGTTTTTCTGATGTTTCCTCCTTTCTTTTGTCGATGCGACTTCGATCCCTATCTTGCGAGTCCTGCTGATTCTCTTGCGACTCTCAGCGCGCTCCGGGGCTCTGTCCGGCTGCGGGACTCGGACTCTCGACTCCGAGTTACCGGCGAGAGCAGGCTACGTGACAGAGAAGTTCCACGCGCATGACTCTCGCTCTGTTTTCGACGGAGAGCGAACGACTGCTGTGAGACTTTCGGGCCCGCGAGGCGACGGACTTGAACCGCCCTTTGATCTCCGTCGTCGTTTTCGCCCGCCGGCCGTTCCCCACCCATCCGGACGAAATTTTATTGATGACATTTTTTTTTCATTTACAATTGCTCCCCTGAAAACATGAATTTCTGATCGGAAGCAATCCGCCTCGAACGAAGTGTCATCCGGACAGACAAGTATGTCTGACGCTTCCGGAATGTTCAACAGAACCGTCTTCCAGGAAGTGCCTAGACGGGGAGGACTGACGACTGTCCATACGCAGTAGGACTGCCTAGATAAATTAGCGACTCGTTAGGCAAACGAACAGTCAGCCGGCGTGCCGTTCGGCCGGCCGGCCGCCCGGCTTGACCCTCGCACCTCTGGCCGATCGGCGCCGTCTCAGATAGGCTTTGAGTTTTTCCGCTTCTGAGTGAACGGAAGGGAGTATCTCGTGCGGACCAAGTGTCCGGCGGATCAGCTGTGTGAGTCGCCTCAGAACCGGTACCGCGCTCCGCCGGAGCTACAACGGCGCTAGACCATGTCGAGTCAGATACTTCCTTTAGGCAGTCTGAGTGCTCCTTGGAAGGATCTGTCGACCCGGAGCGTGTCGAGCTCTATTCGGGTGCCAACTGCTATAGAGTTTCTTTTAGAGCAATCAAGGGTCACGAGTTTCCGGAACAATCCTTGGTGCCGCCCACAAGGGTGGTTACCAGCTGCACGTTCGTCATGACAGTGCGATTTGACCAATTTTGCGAGCGCTCGCTCGGCTGCATTGATGCTTCCCTAGTTGTTGACGGGATCTTGCTGCGGGCGCTCAAATAGGTTCAAAGATCAGCTGCCTCGTGTACCTAATCGAAACAAAAGATGTCCGCTTTGATAACTTCTGGTCACAAAGCGAGGATGATTCGAGGTGACCTCGAACTCCATGCGGACGCGATTCCAAAATGTGCTGGAAAATGTATTCATCGAAATCCGGCTTCGGCGTAGATTCGAGTCAGTGACTGGTTCTGAGCCGCAATCGATCAATTTTCTCACGAAGGAGGCCTGGAGGCCTCAAATGTACTCGAAACTTTGTACATCGGGGACGCCTCGAGAGTCAGCGAATCTCCTTGCTCCCGATTTTCTGTTGCTGCGTTGTTCGAAGATCCCTTTTTCGGAGTCCTAGTTTTCGCCAGGCTGCTCCGGTGATGGCCGCTCTGATTTGCTTGAGAAAATTGATATGGAGATATTAGACGAACAGGCGAATATTCAATTCATGAGGTTCTGCAGTTTTGGTGCATGAGAAGTGTGGATTTATTCTCTCACTACAGCCCTCTCGCTTGAGTTTCCTTCCACAAGAGAATATCTCCGACTGAAGTGTTCACCATATGTCGACATTTCTCTTTCCAGGATGTCGGATCTGTGGGAAGAGCTCTGCACGCCTCTGAATTTCGTCCTCTCTATGATCATAGCTGCTCTCGCGTGGACACTGTTCGGACCGAGGAGAGACAGCGCGCCCTACGATAATCAATCAAAAGTGAAAGTTTTACCGAAATTGAAACGGCGCGATATGACCGTCGAAGAACTCCGTGAGTTTGACGGAAGCCCAGAAAAGAACGACGGAAGGATCCTAGTCGCCGTCAACGGCACTGTCTTCGATGTAACGCGGGCAGGCCATCACTACGGACCAGGAGGTCGCTATGCCGCATTCGCAGGACGAGACGCCTCCCGAATGTTGGCCACTTTTTGTCTGAAAGCCGTCGAGGGCCCACCGGTCTACGATGATTTATCAGATCTCAAAAGCTCCGAGATGGATCAAGTCAAAGAATGGTTTTTGCAATTTAAGGAAAAATACGATGTTGTCGGGAAGCTTCTCAAGCCCGGCGACGAACCAACAGACTATTCAGATGATGAAGAGGCGACAGACGGAGGACAGAATACCTCGACCGAAAACCAGTAGAGAGACGAGACGCATTCGCCAGCACTTTCCGTTCCGGCCCTGTATCTCGTCAGCTGGCCGCTCGAAACGATATGCGCTCGGAATCCGCGACCGATCGATGAGCTCCTTCACGAGAGGTAGCGACTCCATCAGAGATGATTGATGATCTTTCGTGGATCCGTCCCTTAACCAATGCAATCGTCCCCGATATTCCGCTTTTCCTTTTTCATTCGTTATATTGTGAGCCCCGCTATGAGATCGGAAAACAGAAGATCTGATGGCTCTGCTCCCGAGCACATATGAGATCTTTTTCCACGAAAGAAGAGATCTTTTAACATGGGGCATCCAATGAGGCTGATTCGGCGAAGGTTCTCCCGTGCGTATATGTCCTCGAAAATTGGCGTTTCGATTGGAAAAGACGAACTTCAGCCGAGACCGACCGATCAAACGAGCCAAGCTCTGAGATGCTACAACTCATCTTAATGTAATCCAATTCCCTTCGAACTCGCTGTTATGTGTGACTGATTGACGGTTGCTTGAAAGGCGCAGAATTATCAAACGCACCTCGAATACACTTAGTCTACGCCAGAGAATCCAATGGATGTTTTGAAGCCCGGAAGAACCGATGGCAATTCTTCGCGAATATTACGGCGAAGACACCTTCTCTTGAACTGAGTGAAAATCGGAAGCGAGGTCGTGAGAGACCGCGACAGGAATCGATTTGAACCTCGGACAGTACGTCACCTCGTACGCGCTTCGGAATTCCTTCGTCAGACAACAAGCTCGACGAATCCGGAGCTGATCACAACGAAGCAATCTATTGCACGGAACGTGAGACAAATAATGAAATTATTGTATAAATAAAGCCACGGATTTATTCTTCCAAAAACCGTCTCCAGATTCTATCGTCCGTGAGTCCGCTTATGAAGTATCTCTAAGCGTTAGCTTGGGAACTCGGCAGCTCCTTTTGATGATTGTCAGCGAATTCAAGGGGGATTCCATCGTGGGATCGACCTCGGCAGTCGCGATTTTCCAAGAGCCCCACTACCCGAGCAATCCCCCCCCCCCGAGCGAGTGGTGGACGGCGTCAAACTGTTTGGGTCCGATCACCCGCACTTCACTCATCTGTTGGCTGCCAGGGAAGCTTGGGGCATACGCGGATTGTTTTCCTGAGAGACATTCACAAGATCCAGGAGAATCCCGCGGATGTTCACGCAGATTGTACGATCGAAAAAGGGGAATCTCCAGGAAACATTCGCGTGAGGAAAAGAATATTCGAGTCGTTTTGAAGTCCCCGTGCCAATGCCGAATCCACCTGGATCGGCGTCTACCTCTTAATCGTTTCGAATCCCGCAGCCGAAGCCTTCAATTTCTTATTACCATCGAGAAGAGCGAATCAGCTCACAGTTGGGCACCCCGACCTTGAATGGAAAGGAATCACGCTCCCTGACAGTCATTTTCTCCTGCTCGGACAGAGCGCATCCCTTTTCCGCATGAAAGTTCTTTTCTCCGGGCTATTAAAAAAAGAGGAAATTCCTGATGGGTACACAAGTGGATTTAGGCGACTCACACGCTCTGGGCGTTGGAGCAATAGATCTGAACGGGATTCGTGGCTCCTGATGCGTCCTTGATACACGATACTGACTTGGCGATACCGCCGATACCTATCAGAGTCTGGACGTCGGGGATATGATTTAACGCTCGCACGTCGAAAAGCGCGATTGGAGGTCGCACGTGAGAGACAATTCCAAGTCGAAAACAGCACTCGCCGCCGGGAATGAATCAAGCCTAACGGGAGATTGACGATCCCCTCCGACTGATCGCGGCGCGTAAAAAAGCGCAAGTCTTTAAAATTCTTGGATCCACAGACAATTGGTGCCGATCAATAACCAAATATCCCGACCGACTGATTCGCGCGGCCCAATCGCAGTGAAATACGGGTAGCTTTGCGAATATGAGGAAAAACGGGTCACTAGCGAAGAGGAGCTGAAGCAGCACCATGAGAAATAGTTTCCTGGCGCAGTTCTGAAAGAGCGCTCCGAGGACCGGGATCGACCGGAGACCACAATTGAATGACGAAAGAGCAGGTTTCCAGAGAATTCCGTCTCGGTGTGGCCTATTGTACATAGTATGTCTCGTCGTGATATTTCCATGTCACCAAATGACCGTGGGACGCGGTCCGGAAAATATTTTGTTTCATATTAGGAATAGGTGTGTACGTGCCCCAAGCCGATTTCGATCGCTTCGATTCTCAGACACTGAAATATTCAGCACCGTCTCTTGGGAGAGCGAACAGGCCACGTCGGCATCCATGGTGGGCGCTCTGAAGAATGTTGCGAAAACTTTCAATATGATCGAGACAAATATTTATCTTCCCAGTGGATTAGCCGGAGTTCCAGGTTTTCAATATTCTGCGGCGGTTAACAGCTAAGCTCACGCTGTCATCCCAATGGTCAGAGTTCAAGGCGACCAATGTGGGGCGGCAACGTCTGCGATGTGTTTGATAGATCTACACAAACCCTCGGTTTTCGCAAAGGGATGTTCATGATGGATCAGCGCAGGAAAGAGACTGGGAACGTAGCTCCAAGGTCCACCTGTACAATCAGCATGTAAGAGAGAAGCGCCGGACACGGATTCTTCTCACCGATAGAAGGTGGTCCCGATCAGGATAAAATTTGCTCCATTTATTCTTTCCAAAATCATCAATCACGGGCTATGCGCTGCTTCATTTCACTTCCAATGCTCCTCTCCTGGCAGCAGACGACCAGGGCGCAGTTCCTTTTTTTTGCAAAAGTTTGGGAGGGGGCCGACATCCAAAAAGCGATGTTTTGATGTGCGGAAAAGTGGCCGTCGGATGTTGATGTAGGTTTCTGATGTCACCGGCTTCTCGTATCAATCTCTGCGAATAATTCCATGGTCAAAGCCTGATGTTTCCGATGCTCGCTCGGACCGCCGTCAAGGAAATTGCACGAGACAATTGATTCAGACTCAGATTGGATATTGTCATAATGGTACTGACATGTCGATCAGCTGGTCGCATGAGTTTGGTGCAGCTGTTTAGAGGAACTGCGAAATCCAACGGAATCCCTCCCCATATCCCTGTCGCTTGAGGACAGAGCACATGTACAATTCCAAGGGGCGAACTCCTTCCGACGGTCGCTGACCCTTGCCCGTGGTCACTGAGTAGAGGTTGAATGCATGTCGAAGCTCATCCTGGAATTCATTAGCAATTAGAGTCCTATCCGGAGCGACGCCCTGAACTAAAGTTTGCATCCGAAATATTGTTTTCGGCGAGAAGAGTGACCGAGGGAGAAAAAGCATGTTATTTACAGGACAGTCCCCAAGAAGTCCGTACCTCCGATGCTGCTCCTGGCTTGTCGATTTTGTTGCCGAGAATGAGCACAGGACAGTGTGCCAGCTGCTCGTCCATCAACAGATGGTCCAACTCTTCTTTGCCCTCAAGGAATCGCTCTCTGTCGGATGCGTCAATGAGGAATACAATCGCATCTACGGCGGGAAAGTAATCCCTCCATACGCGACGAGCCTGCAGATGCCCTCCGAGATCAAAGGTTGTGAAACAAACGTTCCCTATTGAAAGCTCTTCGCTTGTTGGATGCAACGTGGGCACGTGTTGAGCCATTCGGTCATCCTTGAGCATGTGAAGTAGGGTGGTTTTACCGGCATTGTCCAACCCTAGAAATAATAGCTTCCCGGATTTTTTCCAGAGACCTAGGTAGCCGAGTACACCTGTCATCCAATCGAAGAGGAACATGTTCGCTGATCCTGAAGAAGGAAACAAGATATTAAATTCTATTTTCCATAAACGGACTCAATTCAAAGGATAGCCAGGACAGTGGATTTTGTCATGATCTAGGATTACGGCAGCGCCTTCCTCATCAAAACGGGATAGGCTGGGTGAGCACCAAAAACAGACGTCTCGGCATGCACATATGCGGAATACGTCTTAGCGAGACAATTATTTAGATGTCATTGAGACAGTGGTTGGAGAGAGAGTGAAGTTCGTTTCGTAGCCTTGGTATAGAGCGAGAAGATAGTGCCTCGCTGCTGTTGCCAGAGCAGCCCTACGATGAACACCACTACGATGACCGTCTCAAATCGTCCGGAGAAAACATTCCATCGCGGAAATCTCGAGCTAGCGATGGATCTATCGCCTCCTTGTTGACAACTCTTCACGACGGAAGCTCATCGAACATCCGGGAAACACTCGTTTGGCAAGGCCTCAATTCACATCGCACCTGTTAGTTCGCGAAAAATTATCGGAGCAACTATTGCAGCTGTTTGTCCTAGTAGGACAAAAGTGCGGAATTTCTCCATGTTTTGCTGTTGTTCACCGAATGAATCGTATTGGAGTGGCGGTGGAGCACAATGTCGAGGTCCATGAAACACATGAGAGATCCTGAGGCCTTCACAGTTTGTAAACACGGATACAAACAAGAATTCTCTGAGATCTACGGTCGAGCTCCGATGAGCGAGAAAGATTCTCAACTCGGATAGAGAAAGGAGGGTGTGTCTCGAGCGAGCAGGGTCGCTTCCAATCCCAGCCAGAAGATCAGCCTTTCAATTCGGAAAAGCGGCTTGAGAACACACATGCTTCCGATCCGCCAAATAGTGGCTTTCGTTGGAATGCATCGACGTCCGTTTCAGCGAGAACGACAGAACATGCGGAAGGTTTTCTGAATGACCGAGAAAAACGTACTGCTTGGGTCGACCGCAGCTAAGGACTCAACCCGAAGATTCGGATGTGTTTCCGGCGCCGACCGAAGCGGCAGGCTCAGATCACAGCTCAATACGGGGTCAGCCATTCCTTCCGCCAATATAGGAGCTTCCGATTCTGGTTGCGCGAGCTGAGCATCCGGTCATAAAAATAGCAAACAGCTGTTATTCTGTTTTCATATGATCCCCCGATCTGAACGAAGACCGAAAGTTTCTCTTCCGTCTCCGAAGCTTCTCGAGAAAATTATTGAGAGATTGGACCTCAAAGTTTGTTCCGGTCAACCGCTTCCTCTCGCTTGGTATCGAACACTTCTCCTGAACAAAATCGATACCAGGCTCAGGCGTCTGATTTTCTGGCTCCAGCTGGAGGCGAACGTCACACTGATGCCTTTGAATTTCTGGATAATTCGTGGAGGAAAAACAGCGGATAAACATACATCGGAGCTCCATCTGAGCAACTGAGACGTGAAATCAACTTTCTCGTGCAACCCAGGAGCCTATGCTAAGGATGCATCTTGCGTTGCTAAAGTGAACTCGGGTAGTCGAACAATAAATCTGATCGATCAGAGCACATTCTATGAGACGACTCCTCATATTGTCTCGAGGAGTCGGGTCGAGTGAATATTCATCGCCGATACCGCCAGGAGGAGATCGCACTGTTGGCGAGGCAATTGAATACAGTCGGACTTGGTTGGAGATATTGCGGAGAAGACCATCTAACTCTCTATCAAAGGACCACCAGACGCAAATCGATCAGGGGGCTAGGGGGTCGCTTCAAGCCGCATGTGTTCGATTCGAAGGATCCGTGGTCTGGGACTGGGCTGCTTGAGACGGGCTGAGAACTCGCGGCGACTCCACAGGTACGTCGGGAGAATTTCTCTGCAGTCCGTGCGCTCCCTCTTTTTTCAGCCCCGGTGTTTTCATTCACAAAGCGTTTACTTGGGGCACGGCGATCGAGGATTATCGCGAGGCAGGAAATGTTCACATACCACTTCGCAACCGCAGTCCCCAACGGACACGAAGACTTCGATGCGAGACTTACTTTTCTGTGGTCGAATCCAATGAATTTGTCCTACACTGAGTCCTCTCCCGCCTCTTTACTATTCTCACTCAGAATTGCGCACTCCCGATTGAGCTGGAACTGGAAAATGGTGCAGGAAGGCAGATTCCACGTAACCAGCTACTGAACTATGGATGACAGACAAGAGCTTAAACGGCAGAATTTCGCGGAGAAGTCGGCTTGCTCCGAACTGTAAGGAAAGTCTCAGCTTGAGTATTGCGATGATCAGCTGCCCTTATCTCCGCGGGCGGAAACATCTCCGATAACACATTCGATAGTCTTATGAGCGGCAGACGCAGGCCCCATAAGTGCAGAGGGTGGTTTGAGATGGTCAATCGCCATTTTTCGTCGCATTCCTGTATGCACTTTTTTCGGCAAGCAGGGGATCCGCGGATCGAGTTCGAGAAGCGCCGGCGAAGATCCTTTCCGGAATCCGATGAGCTCCTCATCGGAGGGAGGACAGGGGGAGAATCCCGATACGCTGAGCAAAACTATTCGGATCTCAAAACCCGAAGGCGGCTAATTTTCGAATTTCTGGATAGAACGCTGCGTTCCGTCGTTTAGTCGCGAGCTGACAACCTGAAAGCTTGTGAAGACTTCCTCGATCGACAGCGGACGGGGTATGCGATCTTTTCGGTGTCGATGAGTCCACGTAGATAGATCTAGTCGACGAAGTCTTTCCACCTGACCGATTCCAGTCGGAAAATGCCTAATTCGAACTTCAGGATACATCGAGCGGTCTCTGTGCCGCGTGAGAACGGACGGGGTTGTTTTTCCAGGGTGCTACCAGGGTTCGCTCGAGCGCCGTTCCCATTATGTACTGGAGATTCCCCGCTCATTCGGAAACAACTGGTACTATCCGAAGCGCAGGAGTCCTCGTTAGTGGAAGCTCCTCAATGGCCGCGGTTCTCGACGACTTGAAGCCGGGATTCGCGCATCGGGCTTCGGGGGGCGGGACCGATGAATTTCTCCGAGGCATCGGCGGATAAGTGAGCTCTCCGATGTGCGAAGCACAGCGAGTCTGTTGTACCTCCAGGTTCACCGTTGATGATATCCTGCTTGTTTTTCTCCGAAAATGCGTCACACACTCGTCGATGACTGAGAAAGTAGGGTCGCCGTCAGCGAGTAATAATTTCAACGAGTAGGCGGGAAATAATCGCTCGGAACTCCGCGGGAAAAGCTCGAGAATCGATAAAAAATCTTGATTTTGCGACGGAACCGAAACGACTGGACTGGGCATGGGTTATACCGATTCTTACGAGTTTTATACAACAATGAGTTCTCGATAAGCATCAAGATCCACCCAGGTGATCAGATATTATGATGCTCTGATTTTCTTGGATCCGTCCATCCGTCCAATCCAGTAGAAGCGCACATACAAGACCGATCTAGATGCCGATGTGTCGAATTCAGGTTCCCACCGAGTTGTGAATCCGTCTGAAGCTTGGATCGGTTCGGGGAGCAAGGCCTTCGATTCGAACGCCAGCTAGCATTGTTGACAGAGCACCCGCTACGATTCCCATCAGTTGTCGGTATCAGACTCCTTGGATGCACGAACAGAATCGGTGGCGTTCCCCGACTCGATGGCCAGATGTTCCGTTGATTCGTCGCGGAAATTCGAGATTTTCAGACATCCACCACTCTTGAGCTCTCAATTTTCGAATTCTCTTTCCCGGCAGCGCAAACGAGACTCATTTCCGTCTGGCTCAATTAGCCGCGTATGCACTGTTCCGCACACAATTGAAAAATGGAATGAAGGCATTGGTTGTCGGATCTCTCAGCTAGTTCTATCGACGCAATCCACGGGACGGAAGCTCCCGGTCTCGGAGATCCTCCCTTGTCATCCTCTAGAGTCTACAGCACCCCCGTCTCTATATCACTATCCTTATACCTTATACCATTCTCCGCGAGGAGAATCGATTGAAGTGATTGCCTCGCTGAAATCATTGTTCAAGGGGGTTTCCGCGGTATATCTCGCACTGGTCGCGACTGTTTTCATCAATGCATTCGTTCTGATCCCACCGACAGATCCCGTCGAATCCACCCCCCCAAAAGACCGCGAGTAATTTGTCCTGGACCCTCTCAATCCTGAACACAATTGCGTACGGTGACCGCCGCCCCATCAGGTCACACAAGGAGAGTGTCTCACCAGGCGGGCGAGCGCGCGCGCGCCGTAGCCTCGAACCGGGGTGGTGTTTCGTGGCGAAGATCACACCCAGCTCCCCTCGTCTCCGGTACTTCGGTCGCTTCCGCGACGGTCTCAGCGAAAACTGACGGATTCTTGTGGGTGCATTGAGAAGCAGTCCGTTTCCGGACCAATTGAATCCTTCCGTGACAGGTTCGAAGGGACGTTTTTCAAAACTTCCCGCCTAGAAAGCAGCCCTCACTTTGCAGAGCGCCCGCAACTCTCTGCGGGGAGAGTTGGCGCTTCTCCGTAAGAAGCCCGGCGCTTGCTAATTTGCGATCGCATCCGGCGGCACGCGAGCAGGCACTGACGTACAGACGGTTTTTCGGACTCGAACGGTGATCAAGAGGTGTTTATCGCCAGGACGGACGGTTGGAAATCCGGGTCGTGCTTGTGATCAGGTGCACCGGTGCAGTTGACCGAGTTCAGAATGGCAACGAGCTGGGTAGATAAGTTTCGTTACAATGGACTCAAGGGGGGAGCAGAGCGCCAGGATACGGAAGATGCGGACCAAGGTTTGTAGTGAAGAGATTTAGGACTCGATTGGAGCTCCTGCCCTCAATGAATGTCTCCGACAAATGCACGTTTCGGAGAAGTGTCCTGCGGAAGTTGAAATGTGGTGGTGTGCCTTAGCCTATTCCGTTGCTCCCGACACTAAGTGCAGAAGTGCCGAAATACTTCGGGGTTTCGTTCTACGAATTCTGATCGCTGGTTTCAGATGAGATCACTCACTTGAAGAGCAAGGCGCCGGAGCTGAAAAAGGTGATACTCCCTTTCACTAGCGTTTTCGAACATACAATACAGAGAAAATGTAAACTCAAAGATGAATCGAGGGGTGTCAGTATTCTCCGCCCGCTGTCAAATACATGGTGGAGGCCGACGCGATGCTCGGACTCATGTCACGGGCTCGAAAGCGTAGTCAGACCGACACGTATCGCAAACGCTCCGTGGCTGGTTTATTGTAAGAAGAGGGAGTAGTGAAGCCTTCGAGCGGATCGATGAGCCTCAACAGCTTCCCTGACGATGTTGTCAGGATACTATGCCGTCATATCTCTTGGAAACCACCAGGCTCAGAAATTTTTTTCCGTGCAGAGTGCGTCAGATGATGAGAAAGTTCTGCAGAACTTCCAACGGAGATTCTCAGATATCGACAAGATGGAAATCCAGGATTGTCTCGTCCGCCACAATTGGGACAAGGAAGCAGCCATGAAGGAACTCGACTCTGAGTACATGAAACTCGTCGATAAGAACAAGGCGAAGAGCACGAGCGTGTCACCGATCACCGTCTCCCATAACGTGAGTCCAAGCAGTCGAAATCAGCTGGACGGATATTTTTTTGGTGAATCGCTGGAGAAGACATGGTGGCGTATCTCCTCATGCAGCTTCATCTGTCAATTCACAGACGGCGAAATTAGCGCACAAACGACCCACAAAAGCCAAGAACTCGCACAAGTACGCAGCCATCAACGCTGCACAACGAGTAGAAACGAACACTCCGTCTTCACCGCCGAAACGTTTCAAAAGAGCTCGCTTTGCCGACAGTGATGACGAAGACGAGTCAGCAACCAAACGGGACAAGGTTTACATGAGTTCCGGTAAGCTCGATCAGCCCGGAGAATGAATCGGTAGTCTTCTGCCTATGAACAGATTTCTCAATCGAGTGATCCGCGAATTCCAGATTCCGAGTCGGAAGATGAAAGACTCGCACAGCCGAGTTCGGAGTTGGCAAAAATACGCAAACAGGTAGGAAGATTGTCTGCCGCTGTCAACAGCGTTCTCGGAAATCATCCTCGAATCTTAGCGGGGACTGGTTCTGGCGATGCGATCGGATGTGACATGATTCCTTCCGGCAGGTTTTAGAATTCCTCAACGAGGCGACCGAGATGGAATTGGAAGCCGTTCCAAATCTCTCGAAGAAAAGGGTAGAAAAAATTCTCTCGATGCGTCCATTCAGTTGTGAGTGAAATTCTCGGTGTACTGCGCAACTATCCACTCTGCACGCACGGGGTACATCGCCTGATTCGATGGCATCGGAGCATAAGTTCGTGTTATGGGCTCGAGCTTCGGGAAGATCCGGTCGTTCCCGCGCTCTTCAAACCTTCATTCAAATCTGATGCATAATTTTTGTATTATTCCAGCCTATGAAGCCACGGTGAAGGCCATGAAATCCACTTCGGGTCTCACACCTGACATTTTGAACAACGTACAGTCATTCCTGAGCTCTCGGAACATAATTGCGAAGCTAATGACGAGCTGTGATGGAATCGTTAAACAGATGAGACACCAAGTAGAGCGCCTGCACGATAAGTCTACGATGAGCATAAGGCAGCAGCCCTCGATCCTATCTAGTCACCTCAAGCTGGCTCCTCATCAGCTTATCGGTGAGCCAATCGAGCGATATCGAATCTATTCCTGAGCAGCGACTTATCCAAAAATAGCGAACTAGAATCGGGAACTCGATGCGAATTCGAAGTATCTCTTTATCTATTCTCTAGGTGTAAACTGGATGTCCCTGCTCCACGAGAAAAAGTTGAATGGAATCCTCGCTGACGAGATGGGTCTCGGGAAGACGATACAGGTCAGTGCCGACTCCGAAAAAACGATGTAGGAATCAAGCGAACGGGACCCAAGTGAGAAAGAAACGGAGGAGCTTATCGTTGAACTACCTCGGCTTTTCTAGGTCGTCGCGTTCCTAGCTCATCTCCTCGAGAAGAATATTCAGGGGCCTCATCTCATCGTAGTGCCCAGTTCGACCCTGGATAATTGGCATAGAGAGTTCACTACATGGTGTCCTACGCTGAAGGTTCGTAAGTCGGGACTCGGGAGTCTATCATGGGGCGAGGTCTTCTCCTCGGATCCGATCGTCTCGGGTGTCGTACGTTCCTTTGAATGAATAAGCGTCCCTCTTCCGTAGGTGGTGATCTATTCGGGACCTCAAGAGGACCGAAAAATCCTGAGGTTAGACACGGTCAACAACCGAATCAGTTTCAATGTGATAATCACAACGTACAATACGCTTTCCTCGACGCCCGAGGATCGTGGTTTCTTCAAGAAAATGCAGTTCACCTACGCTGTCTTCGATGAGGCTCACATGCTGAAAAACATGATGACTCAGAGGTAGATTCAGTCGAGATTTTCGGGCCGCAGATCATGCTTATGCTGTTGGTGATTCCATGAGCGGACGGATCATTCCGTGAGTGACTTCGACTGGATGTGCTCCTTGCAGATATCAAAGTTTGATGCAGATCAACTCCAATTACAAGATGATGCTAACCGGGACGCCGCTACAAAACAACCTCATCGAGCTCATGTCACTGTTGACTTTCACGATGCCGAATCTTTTTGCAAACAAACGGGACCATATGACATCTCTGTTCAAGGGTGCCAAAGGTCTGTGTTACAACACGTAGGGTACAATATTTATTACCTATACCGATATTCCCGGGGAATCCGGAGGGCTGTCAACCTTGGGGATCTACAAACCGAGCATCGCTCTGTTTCAGCTGGAGGAGACGGTGATTCAGCGAGGAATAAGTTCGAGCGTGAACGCATCAACCAGGCAAAGTCGATCATGCAGCCGTTCGTTCTCCGGAGGTAAGCGAATCTCTCTCCTGCTCTGCTTCATGTTCTGATCGGAGGGGGCAGAGTCTGTGGTTGACGGCGAATCAGAGCGAGAGCGAGACTCGTCTAGGGGGTCATTTGAGTCAGACTGATTATTTTTAATCCACAGGTTGAAGTCCGATGTCTTGAACAATCTTCCCACAAAACACGACGTGACCGAGCATGTACCTCTCACCGAACCCCAGCAAAAACTATATAAGAAGCTGGTGAGTACATACCGAGAGAGGGCTCTTCCTCGCATGGTATGGGCGAAGCCAAGTCCGAGGTCGGAGGATACCTCGAGCGCAACTTGTTCGAAATATCCGAAATTCAACTCGAATCGATCCCCAGGTAACCTCGTTCAAAAAAACGAAAGTTGAACGTCGCGAGGACGATGTAAATTCGGAAGGTTCGGTATTGATGCAGCTCCGAAAGGCCGCCAACCACCCTTTGCTCATGAGAACATTCTACGACGATAAGAAACTGGCCCGAATGGCAAAGATAATATGTAAACAGCGCAGCCATCGGGACAGCTCCGTCGAATGTGTGATTGAAGACATGGAAGTTATGAGCGACTTCGAACTCAATGCGCTCTGCGGGGAGTTCGGGGAGTGTCTGGATGAGTTTCTTCTGCCAGATACCCTGATACTCGATTCAGGGAAATTCAAGCATCTGCAATCCCTGATCAAGGAACATCTGGAAAAAAAGAACCGCATTCTGATATTCTCTCAGTTCACCATGGTGTTGGACATCGTCGAGAAGTTCCTCCACATTTTGTGAGTAGTATTGCAGCCATGGGGATTCTCGCGGGAATACAGGGCTCTACGACTTCTATCGCAAACAAATTATTGGAGGCATGATCAAGGAAGGAAAAATGCAATGCAGATTATCTCGTTCCGCAGAAAATACAATTACCTGCGAATCGATGGATCAACTCCCGTCAGTGACCGTCAAGACATGATCGACATGTTTTCCAACGACGAAACGATCCCTATTTTCCTTTTATCGACAAAAGCGTGTGGACTCGGCATCAACTTGACTGCGGCGAATGTGGTTATTCTGCACGACATAGACTTCAACCCGTATAACGATAAGCAGGTACGTTCCTCGAAATTCAAGCGCGATCGCCGTTCCAGGAATCAGTGGCGTATAAGAGCTCGCATCGAAGCCTATTCGCGGTAGCGGCTCCCTGCAGCCACCGTCAGACTCCGGAGAGATAATCCGTTTCATTTCCAGGCGGAGGATCGCTGCCATCGAATCGGGCAGACGAGGGAAGTTCACATTCACAGGCTCGTGGCCAAAGGTACAATTGAGGAGGCCATGCATTCGATCGCTCAGGAGAAATTAAAGTTGGAAAAGCGAGTTACCGCGGAAGAGGATCAAAACGAAGAAAAAGTGACCATGATGAAGTTGTTGAAGCAAGCCCTGGCCGAGAACTTGGACTGAATTGTTCCCAGGGGACACGTCCTGGGCTGAGAGTACGTCAGAGGTTTTTCCAACGAGAAGCCTAGAATCTCGGCATTCTACCGAGGAAGGGAATGCACAAGTGGAATTCTCAGCGTGGGTTGGTTGCATGGTCCGTCAATGCTCCGAGCTCCCGCGTCTTCCCGTCACGTCGCGGATGCTCGTTGCAGGTTCCAGTCGTCGAGAGCCAGCCTTCGCCCGGAGTTTCATTCCAAGTGTAGATAACATCGATCTTCTCATTCACCATTGCGAACGTTCACGTTTGGTGGAGGAGGCTCCCATGACGGGTCTGGGATCGTGAATCCGCGAGACGTATTCTGCCTTGACGCTGTGCGCTTTTGTTCCTGAAATCTGCGATCTTATGGGGAGCATTCGGACGACCGCTTGTCGGGTCATGTCCGCTTTTCTAGAGAACCTCCCTTTCTGATTTTAGTCTTGCGAACTGGAATATACCTGATCCGTCGTGCATCGTCTCGATTAGTATAGGGGTCATATCACGTGATACACACGTCTCCGGGAAGGGGTCCAATTGTGAATTGCTCAGAAAATCATCTCAGAGACTGTGTTGTAATAAATTAGCTCAGATATCTCCGGGCTATGCGACTTATATTGTCAGATCGGAAGCCATGGAATAAAACTCAAGGGATCATAGGGGAACTGCTTCATTCGTTCAAGGGTCTATCCAAGCACTCGCTCACAGCTTAATTGCTCCACTCGATCCACAGATTGTGCTCCGATTCTCATTTGAGCTGGTCTCGGAGAGAGATGAGCTCAAAGAGATGAAATACAACTCCTTGATCCGACTGGTAACTTGTGGATTGAAAACATCTCAGATTTCTCCACAGCCCACAATTTTGACCGTGGTCGTGGTATCTCCGCTGTGGCTACCATAACTTTCCATCGTACGCACTACATCTAACCCCTTTGTGACTTTCCCGAAAACGACATGTTTACCATCTAGCCAAGAAGTATCCGACGTGCAAATGAAAAACTGTGACCCGTTGGTGTTCGGACCGGAGTTTGCCATCGACAGCGTTCCTAGTCCCTCGTGTTTGAGGATGAAATTCTCGTCCTTGAACTTGGTGCCGTAGATCGATTTGCCTCCAGTTCCGTTGAAATTTGTGAAGTCGCCTCCTTGACACATGAAATCTGGAGGAGAGGGGTCGTTCCAGTTCAAGTATACGTACGGCAGCCCTCTTGCATTGATTTTTATAAACAGGAATAGAGCAAAAGACCTCCGGGCAGGACGCACCTGGGATTATTCTATGGAATATGCTGCCCTCGAAACCGAATCCTTTTTCGCCGGTGCAGAGCGCGCGGAAGTTCTCGGCTGTTTTCGGCACCACGTCAGCCCTCAGCTGTACGAAAGATAGACGCTTTAAATATATCAAGGCTCGAGTTTCTTCAAGCAACTATTACACTGAGGTTTTCTTGTTCTTATTCTGCGTTTACGTCGGTGAAATCTCATTCGGTACAGAATGTCAAAAATCCTGGGATAATAATTCGAGCCGCTTTCTAGCCCGCGGTTAGCCGGACAACGGCTCGATCTCATTCATTCGGAAGCAGGGTACGACGTCCCTGGAATTAGACATCTCAGATCTAGACCCTTGCGTGGAATGATGGAGTCCAGGAGTCGGAACCTGAGAGCTCGATCCCGTCTGAGGATGATACGCTCTCAGATGCTGAGAGAAAAATGGGCAGATTCGGAGATTATCCTGTACCGGGGACACCTATGCTCCAGTTCCCCTTGATAGTTACTGTTCCACTTGATCATCTACGGATCGAGCCATGGATAACCCGTGTCGGAGCTTATTCACCCCTCAATCTGGTATTCGTATAGAATCGCAGGAACAAGGTTGGTCAGCCAGGGCCAGGAATCGCGGTTCTACCCTTTCCTCAATAACGGTGCTTCCCTCTCACTCGCTCACTCACCTCCATCTCGATCCGTCCAATATTCTCGCCGTCGGCACTGATGTCGAAGAAGACTTTGGGATTGCCGCCCGACGTCCCGCCTTTCCCGCAACAATTCCCCATACTCTGGGGTGAAGCCTAGCCGAAGTTTGCTGGCAACTGCCCTCGCTCGCAATGATCTCCTATGACAACATCGCATCTACAGTAGCAGCGGTAGTGCCTCGCTGTTCCACCACAAACTCACGAGATGGCGCCACAGTGTTCGACGCGCGATTCTCAGTCAATCAGAGGCGGTTCTCAGCGGATTTAATTGATTTCGAATGCGGATTTTTTCGAGGATGTATCGCAATAACTTCCTGATGACGATAGCCTGCCGACCGCGAGCACGACGAATTCCCTTCCTCGCCTCCCTCGAACCTCCTTGTCGTCCCCACAGGGAAAAGTCGAAATAAGAAAATAGATATCCGCGGTTGCATTCGCCAAGAATCACCGCTCTGTTGAATGATTCGTTGTCGCTTGATTGGTTAGGTGGACTGAAGTCGGAATCGCGGCTTGAAAGGAATCGGACCGGGCCCTCAGTCCTGGGGGGCTGAATTGCTCCCCGAATGAACTTCGGTCTCCCTCCAGCGCTGCACCTCGAATTCACTCCACACAGATTCACGCCAGCAGTCGCAAATCGACATAACAAACATGGTTGGAATCCAAAAAACTTTATTCTTGTCAACCTATTCAATCTGTAACTCGACGGATGACGTCAAGCAATTACTGGATCATCATCGCGGCTCCGACAAACACATCTAAGATCAGCAGCTACTTTGATGGTTCAAGCTTGACCCCGTGCTTCTTATTTGATTTGTTATTAGCTGCTCGATTCTCCCCACAATTAATCTCCGCAACTCGGCGTCAGCTACCGATCCATCATGCCTATCCATCGGAACCTAGATATATTATATGAATGTTCCTCCTGGTCGGACATCTCAGGACACGATGCTCGAATCAAGGACAAGCAGAGCCGAATTCGGAGCGAGGATCCTCGGAGTGAATGATTCGGAATCTCGATATCTCTCAATCGTCGGTCCAGATGGAGATCTTCAGAATTCACTCCGCCATGTTCATCAGCTGTAGGCGCTGTCTCACATCCTAGGTCGTTGCCCTCTAGCCCCTAGAGCAGATATTTTGATTTGGAATGTTTCTCGCCTTAGTTGCGGTTCCCGCCGTCGACCACGGACTTCCATTCACTATGACTTGTCGTGATGAGAACCAAAGGGGATCAGGGCACATTGCTCGCGCATACCCATTCTACGAAAGACTGGATCAAGGTTTAGCTGCCTCGTTGATCACAGCGACTGGGTCTTTTTTGTTCTGTCGCGGTCTCCCTACGGATACTTTAGAAGCTCGGCGCTTCTGCTCATGTCCGCCCTCCTCCAGCATGGAATGAAGGACAGACTAGTTGACTATGTAATTGGAACGCTCCGCAGAACGCGGCCTGATTCGCTGAGGATTGCACCGACATGGAATGAAATTATCATTCCACAGAAATGTTCACTCACTCAATAGAATGACTATGGATAGATTCCAAGCCGAGGGATGCTGTTCATACACATGAGTGGAACACGCTCCCGGAGCTGATTTGAACTCGGTCCCCGAGTGGGATTTTACCAGGATCGTTTCTTAGGTATATTTCATAGGAGTACCTCTGTCCGCACCTCTTGTCCGACAAAATTACTTCGCGAACGATTAACGAGTCAACGACAACGCTTTCATAGATCGAAACGGGACGAAATTCGGATACATGCCTCACGCGAAGCCCTAATTCCGGAGAAAACGCATCATACGCCTCAACTTGATGCACACATACGATGACTTCACTGAATTATCACTTTCGCTAAATTATCCCCAAATGCGGGTCCTCCATAACTAGGCGCCATTGAACAAAGCATATAATTTGCCGGAAAAATTCCAAAATAACTCTAAAATACTAGCCTAGTGCCTCCCTAGAGACAAATATTCTCCTATCGTTCCTAAGGAAATGAGGCAAACATACATACAGACCAACTACATGGAAGTTGCACAAAATTGACTGATAAGAGATGATTCCCATTGAAAGTATTGCCTCCTTCGGAACTTTTCATCGATCAGAGCCGTTTTTCACACCGGCTCGGAATCAATAAGAACACGTTCTCCTCGTCCACCATGAGAGGTAATGGTCTCGATGAAATGGTGAAAATGATGATAACGATCCCATGTTTTTGGGATTGCCGAAGGTACCCGGTTATGAGCATGCACGTCCTTCACAAATTATTCTTGATATACAGTTGAGATACGATTGACCCTCCAGACCGATCAGAGACTAGGTACTTCGTCGGAGTGGGGGCCGTTTGAGAGCGCCAGCTTCCGTGTTGCCGTGAATCACTCGATCACCATTTTCACTTTCCATCTCTGCTGAATGAATTCGCGGAATGAGGATAAGATCTTGACCGTGTCATGTTTCCTGTCTCTGATGGAGAGGAAGTCACACATATATTCACGTCGATTTCGGCACGTACTTACGCACTACGAGATTCCGGCAAATAGATTTCCTCGTCAGAATCTTCATCGCTGTCACTCAGCTCTAACGCTCTCAAATCACTGTAACCTTCATGAACAATATGGTTCGATATTAGGACGGAATCCTCCGAACGGAGAGGGGGGTCGGTGCCAGGGTTCACTCATTTAGGAAGACCGTATCTTAGGAACAGCAAACTTACCTCCTGGGGCCGTCGACTCCCGGACGAGAGTGAAGCCGTCGTCAGATTTCCTATCCATTCGGCGAAATTCCAGGACGTCGTCATTCGTCGACAGCGGCATGAAACCTTTCCGTCGTAAACGTTCGCCTCGGCCGAAGAAAGTTCCGTTGCAGAGAAGATACGACGCCACGAGAGTGATCATCCCGAAGAGAACTACAAAAACTGTTGCCGATTGAATATCACGCATTGCTCAAATCCAGTTTGTCAGGAGAAATATACTCGCGCTCACTAGAGAGAATCTCGCCCATGACAGTAACGGACGATCTATGATGGGATTGGTATTCGCTCCCCTGAGATGATGACATTTGTAAACGAGCAGCGCATGGAATCATGGGGGGAAGCGATAGAAACAAGAAGAGATGAGGAACAACACTCCCATTCTTAGGAAAAGGGATGAAGAAACGAAGGAACGCTCGCGACGACCGCCCGAGCTCCGGAAGGACCCGTGCTGGGAACGGGGATCGAGGCTCATCTTATCGTTCCGACGGCTTACCGATTGCGAACATAATCAGAGTGGAAGAAATGCTGCTGAAGAAAGTGCTGACGTCCACCTTGAAGACGACCTCGGTAGAGGGATCAACCACCAAAACCTGCACAAGCTTGGTCATGTTGAAATACCCGTCCTGAGAAACTTCCACGGCGTACTGAGGGCAAAGAAAACTCTTTCAGCTTGCAGTTCCTGCGATGAGTCCGCATGCTCAAGCTCATGCGCAGCGATGCATGGTCGAAATCGGCTCATTGTTCCCGCTGCACGGTAGTCGCCGACCCCCGATAGACTTTACCTTCCCGGGTGGTAACGGGAGATAGAATCGACCATCGTGATCGGAAGTCTTCTTCAGTTTCACGTCCTCCACGTAGATGGCACTGTTCGCCAAGGGCCGTTCGTTAGCATCGACGACGCGGCCCTGGATCCCTTCTCGTACCTGCAGTCATCATCAGAAGCGTAAGAAGAAAGGGTCGAAATTATTTTTTCCCTCTCCGTGTCCCGGTGAAGAGATGATCCCCTCCTAAAGCACTCCCGGGATTCGCCTTTCAGGGATAAGGGAGGGGGGCGGAATTGAGGTTCGAGAGATTCGGGCCTGGAGCTCTTCCGAAAACTTCTGGAGGAAATGGGTTGACACATGAATCCGTGGACTTACCATGGATAAGAATTTGAGCAATGCTGGTTTGGAAGCTCGTGTGAAATGCGGCAGTTCATCTTGAGATTTACAACAACTCAGGTATACCGCAACGGAGAGGACTCCTTTTCTCCCTAATGCGCTTTCCAAGGTTCCTTGGAAGCCGAGCTCCTCTTCAGATCTAACATCCGAATACTTTGAAACGAGCCTCTCTTGATTTTCTGCAGGGAAAGCATTCATTGAGACTCCGTACCTGGGAGCGATTCATTCACGACATCGAGGAGAAATCCGAGCCCTTTGCGACTGAGAACCCACCTTTCTCTGCGGCCTGTCGAACTTCGGGTACGGAACTAATTGAACAACTTGGCTGCGTCCCAGGAAGCCACAGACTGCGGAAACTTTGAGCCAAATGTCTCGCGGACACTGTCTCGGGCTTCCCTTGATTTGAGTAAACAACCCCGGTAGCTCCCGATTTGAGCGAGAGCGAAGAAACCTGGAACGGGAGAACGTGATCAGCAGCCACCATGGGCATGTTGAACGAACTTAATATTTCCCGGGATGAATCGCAGTCCCAAGACTATTCTAAAGCGACTCACGAGGTGGGGCGAAGCTTCATCGAGCCATTTCGAAAGAGCTGCCTGACTCCAGGAAGCTCGCGGGCCTGCTCCAATGGCCGATCCGGAGTAATCTGGCGAAGCGGATGATTCCGAAATCAGTTCTTCGGAATATCTCTCCAAAGAGATCCACATGTATGTTCACAATACTCACGACTGGGCAACCCACCGAAAACATTTTGGTATGAAGAAAAGTTGTACTTGCTACCGCATCCAACGCTCTGCCCTTCGCCGGGGACTGCATCGACATCGATCATTGGCACGATGAAGACTTTCGTGCTATCCACGATCTGTGAATGAGAGGAAATGCCCAGTGACAGTCGCTCGAATGCTCGCCGAAGCGTGTTGTATGCTGATTAATCATTTTTTCTCTCTCCGTCAGAGAGCCCATCCCGGGCGCGAATCTCACCTTCCTGATATAGTTCTCTTTACTATACCGCGACGAAAGCAAACGAGCTAGATTGAGTGCGGTTTGAATAGCTGCCACGTCAGAACCGTGATGACCCGCTGTCACGAGTACACCCGGTAGATGAGGGGGGTCGTGGGCTCCGGTGGGCGTCGACGATATTTCCAGGAGCCACACGTACTTCTTGCTCGAGCCCCCGAGGCTGAGGAAAGGAATGTCTTGAAATTGTGCACATGTCGAGGCAGTCTCGCTCGCGCGAGACTTCGTGGACTTCGCTCCGGGAAGTATCCTCCTCGATTCTTCTCACCTCGAAAGTCTCGTTTGGTTGGGGTATTTCTGCGCGATGCCTTTTAGCGATTTCAAGACACCCTCATATCCGCCGAAGACACCCGAATCAGCGGACATTGATAAATTCAAGGACTCGACTTCCAACGGGATACCTTCTGCCTTCGAGGCACTTGTTACCGAAAGGTCGTAGCCAGTCGCTGATGCTGTGGATGTTCGAATCTTTGATTGCCGGACCCTCTTGAGGAGGCTCTCCTGTCACTGTACGATCCCGACTCATGCACCCAAGATCATCCCGATTCATGAAGAAGGATGCAGGCAAAAAAAGACGATCCCGACTCTCTTCCATGAGCGCGAGCCCTCCTCCCCCAGGTTATGCCCTGTCGAGGGCTCGGCTCTGGGATAAAAACGATTACTCGAGAGTTCACCCAAGTGCAACTTACAAAGAAGCAGACGACAATTCCTGTTCCGGTAAGCGTGTAATAGCTCCGAGTGTTAGTGAAAATAAATGTGCAACGCCTCGCGAGTGACTTCCTCTGTCGAGTAGAAGACATACATAGAAATATATTCACCCACCTGTCACGTATAGGCCTCCAGGTGAGGCGAGGAACGCGTACGCTCCGTCCTGAACATGGATGTTCGGCCGGTTGCCCGGCGCCAAGGACAGTTGGATGCTCTTGATAGGTTTCCCGCTCTCACTGCGAACTTCGCCCACCACAGACATTTTCATCGCTGTGGTGAGGAAACTCAGGAGCGGTGGCTGCATGTTTCGATATACGGGGAACAGTTCTGTCGGAGCAGGATAGGAGCAGCAGTCAACCGAAACACTCGCCTGAAAGGTCTTCTTCCCTGAGAATCATACTCCGTCGGAATACAAGCGAATGGGCTCCACGGGTGTCTTCCGTATTCGGGACTGTGGTTTCGATCATCGGAGACAACGGGACTTCTTCCGGTTTCGATCGGGGTAGGCTTTGCACCCTGGGATATTTCCGAACTAACCATCAACGTTGCGTGCTCTTGATATGCGAAGTCCAGAACCGGATTTGAAGTCACGGGGTTCTCCATACACGAGGAACGATTGCGGAAAGGATTGGTCAGTTTGTCGAGGATTTCTTTTGCTCCTCCGGGCTCGGTTCCGTTCAAAACGAGTGATGGATAAGCCATTCCCTCCGAGCCGCTCTCCAACTCCAGAGCAGCGGCGTATGAGAAGGTCTCGAACATTTTCCTCAGTGACACCATGCGAGAATCCGGTTCGGAGCCGTCCGCGACGCGCTCGAACGTAGTGATGACATCGTCCCCGGCTGATTTTGCATCGCACCTCCGCTCGGTACCGAAATCTCCGAATGAGGTTCCGATGTAGGGAACGAGATGGACGACGGAATTGTCGATGAGGTCTCGGTACGATTGGATCTGAGAAAGGAATAAAAAATTTAGAACCGAAAACCGCTGGGGATGTCCGTACCGAAGGGTCACGAAAGCTGAATCGAGAGCTCAATGCCTCTCGCGGCGTCGAGACCGTCAACCTACCTCCCTGCGGTATCCTTCAGCAAGATGTCGAGCGAAGCGGAGAATCACTTCTCGGGCGACCGGCAGGTTGCCGCGCAATCCGCCCGCGACGAGGAAATGCGGTTTGTGCTTCGCGTTGGTCTCGTTCGTTATGTACAAGAACTCGGAAACTTTGTTCGTCGCGTTATCGAATACTTGTTTCACTTTCAGGAATCTGTAGTCCTGTTTCAGCAGCTCCATGGCATTGTTGGTCTCATATACGTTCGAGTAATGACTGGCCAGGTTCTCGGATATTCCGAAATCGTTCTCCTTACTCCATCGCGCGTACGCAGCGTTTACCGAAAAATCTACGACGACGGGCAGCTTTCCGGGATCATCGGGAACTGACACGGTTCTCGTGTCCAGGTGGATGCCATTAACGACAGCAGAGACCTGGAACGAGGAATCGAAGTCTGAGGGGAGACCAATCGCAACAGGATCCCTGTTCACCTATTCGGGCCCCCTCGGCAGGAAGAGAACTCCTCCACCAGCACTCACTTGATATGTTCCCGGTAAAAGCAGTCGCCAATAATCTCCGTCCGGTGAAGTAGTCACGTCGTGTTTGATACCACTGACGTGAATAGAAACGTTTGCTAGGCGTCGCTTGTTCTCGTCAACCACGACCCCCTGAAAACCGAGATCTATTTTCACGGCGAGAAATTCTGATCCGACCGACCCCCCCTCACTGGAACGGAGGTGGCTATCTCACAGATTCCGGAGCTCGCCTCACTGACCTTGATTCCGATGTGAGTTTGCTCGATGAATTTTAGGAGCGGTCTTTTGTGCTCTTCCCAAATTTTCTCCAGTTGGTTTGCGGGTGGGAATTTTTGACAACCCATTTCGACGGTTATTTCGAAGCAGTTCGACTTCAAGTAGTTGAAGTCCTGCATTCCGCCGTACAGGACGTACCATTGAGCGCCGTTGGTTATACCCTCATCGAAACGTTCCGTGAAGCCCCTGGGACACGACTCGCCTTTGTGCATTTTCGGATGCAGGAAGGAATAAGTGCGTGAGATGTTTCGAAAGAGTTGATCATCTTCCGTTTTGCTGTACATATGATCCACCTGAGGAAGTCGGTCATTGTTTCAATTGAGTTAAGTACTCGGATGCCTGGGAAATCATCGGGACTCACAGTCTATCACGAAACTCTACGCGTCCAGGTTGCTCACTTTTGCCAGATTCCCATCGAAGGGATAGTTGGCCACGAGGGCGCCACCGTGCAGACTCGCGGAGAGCACAAACGGTCTCGAGGTGATCCACTCCATCATAGCAATGGTTTCGGGCTCGAAATGGTTGAATCCCGCTTCGGTCTTGTTGCCCAGATATTGGTCGGGGAAGTTGCGATTCAAATCAACATTATGAGCGTTGAAGCGTCCGATGAGGCTGTCGTAGTCTCCCACAGTCGACCGCTCATACCCGTCGGGATTGATGGACGGCAAGAGGAAAATCCTAGAATTCGGACAGAAGGCCTCAAACATAGGATTCTTCAGAGGAGAAGGGTGCTTCTCGTATGGAATTAAACGAACACGAATCCAATCAGAATACCTCGTGTTGTTGACTAGTTTTGTGATTCGCGGACTCTTCCCGTACCCTTCACATAGGAGCTGCGCCAAGACCAGAGACAATTCGCGGCCTACCACCTGGGAAACATTTCAAATAGATTGCTTAAGTCTCTATTATTGTTGAGGTCTCCCGTTCGATTCGGGTGTTCTACTCTGATCTTCGAGCGCTTTTGTTTGCCGCCCCTGGGTCCCTGATGGACCCAGTTCTCAATGGGGGCTGTAGGAATCCCCCGCTGGGAGTCCTCACCTCGTTGCCGTGAATATTTGCGACAATCTTCATCTCGGGCTCGTAAAGTTCGTGTGTACCTGGGTTGTCGGAAATTTCGAGTACCTGCGGAGGACAGATCAGCTTGTTCAGAGGCTATACTCGTTATATTTGCGCATTTGCTTCCGTAATCGTCCATTCGAGGAGCGTTCCCTCGGCCACTGACCCATAAATCCCGGTGTTCAACGCTTTTGCCGATCGATGAGAGTCGCGTGATGCTCGGGAAGCGCTCCGCCAGCCGATGCAAGAATTCAGTCAAACCGGTGTAGTTGTGATGCCAGAATTCGGGCTGCGTTTTAAAGACGAAATCGCTGACGTCGGAGTCCGGAGCCTGCGGATTTTTGCATTTGAATCTCTTTCTAGTGCATGTCTCTTGAGAACCGGAACATTAGGTGAAAGATTTCCCTGTTGAGCTCATTCATTCACCTTGCTTTCTGCCGCCTCGTCGTTGTGAGGGCTGACGCTTTCCGGTTCCAGGAGGAGGTCGACAGAGGTGGCTGCGCCCTTCCTAACAGCTACGTTTCGTTTCACATAGGGCTTATAACTGATTCAGAGCGTGAGAGTCGTTAGAATGCGACGTTTGCACCTCGTGGCCAAACTCGCTCTACAATAAATCAGTTTTTCCGTCGAATTCCCGCATAAAACGAGGGGCGCTGTAGTTTCCTCGGTTCTCGCGTCGAATGTCCCATTGAAACTCACCCCGGAGCTGCCACAGAGATTGTGTAATACCCAGGGAGGAGCAGACGCCAGAATTCCCCGTTGCTGCTCGATTTGACGTCGTGATTGATGCCTTCAATCGAGACCGTGGCTTGCTGTATCGGTGCCATGGAGTCCCGATTCCGGATCAGTCCTTTCACACCCATGTGGACCTGGGCGATTAGACCGAGAATCAGGGATTGTACCGGGGAGTATCCAGGGAGCCCCTCCAATAGCGGGATCCGCGTCAGGAAAACTTCTCAAAGCATGCGATAATGACCTGTTCCATGTATGCCAGAATACTTTGCCAGTTGTCGTTCCATTCGCGAGTCAACTGAGAAGAGTCCGGGTACTTGCAACAAGACAGTTCCAGTGTGGTTTCCATGCAGTTACTGAATGCATAGTTAAAGTCAGCCATTCCTCCTGGAGCGGGCGGGAGAAATTAGTCGGTAGCTAGGTTTGCGAAATCGCTGTAAGATTCTCGGTTTCCATCTCTAAATATATAATACGAGGTTTCCTCACCCTTCATGATGTACCATTCCGCGCCGTTTGTTATGCCGTTTTTGAAATGCGCGTTAGGACAGTTCGCCCCCTTCAACAGCAAGGGGTGATTCTTGACGTATGTGAGCGATAGATCACGGAAAAGAGCATCGTCAGGAGATCTACTTTCCTCCCTCTGGGCGGAGCTTTTGCCTGGGAAAAGGAATCAAGTTCGTTTTCTACGGCCTGAGGAGGAGCTGCGGCGCTAGCGAACGCGCGATGCACTCACCGGCTGAGCTCGAGTTGACGGAATCGTATGGGTACGAAACCACTAGTGACCCCGTATGCAAAGACGCAGAGAGCACGAAAGGATTACTGACAATCCAGCGCATTAGGGCCGTTGTTTCTGGTTGTTTTTTAGCCTGAGGAATACAATGTGATTTATTATCCACGGACCACTAGCCCTTCCTCGATCGGGGAATCCTATAGCTAGAAATCGACGCTCACCTTCCACGCTTCGGAAACGCTGTCGAATGGTCCCGGGAAATCGTTGTCTAGATCCACGCCATTCGCGTTCTCTCTACCGGTCTTTTGTGTGTCTCCGCCGCTCCCATCGCAATCGCCCTCTTTCGCGATTTCCCGACCGTCGGGGTTCGCGATGGGTAGAATATGAATCTCAGTCTGATTCAGGAGCCGCGTGACTCGGTTGTCTTTCCCGAAGTTCTGCATGAGATACTCGCTCAACATGAAGAGAAGCTGCGATGACAGAGCCTCGTTGCCATGAATACCTCCCACAAGCTTGAGAAGAGGTTTCAAAGTTGTCCGAACTCTGGTACGATCTGTCGAAAGTTTCACCACCCATAGATCCCGGTTTTCAGTTGATTTGCCTGGGGAAGGAGAGGATATGGACTTATCAACGGAGTTCGATAATGGGGTCCATAAGCAGGCTGCCACATCTTTTCATCGGATTTTTCGAGGCATCGGATCTTGATTATTGTTGAACCGAAAGCACCCAGCGGTAAAAAGTCTCCCTCGACCTTGCTGGGATCGCACTAACGGGAAGCCTATGCAGTGAGTGTGAGAGAGTGGTAGAAACAAGGGCCTCTGACTACTACGAAGAGGCGATTTTTTTCTTCCATGGATTTCCAATTGTCTCGTTCGAGTCCCCCCGACCACCCGCTGGGAATATCGACCGCTGCTGAGGCTCCGAAAATTATGCCTATGGTCGAGGAGCTCCATCCACCTTGCTGATTCTCAGAGGTGAAGATTCTACTGGAGTCAGAGCACGAGTCGAATCGACTTGAAGAGGGAGTTCCTTCAGCGAGATGGAAATGCGAAGCGAGGTTACGGTCGCGATTTAGCCGAATGAATATGCTGACATCGAGCCATCCGGTTTCCCGCTCGCGGCTTCTCGGTCCGAATTTCACGGACACAGCAGGGGATTTCCTTCCGCGATGATCAGTAGAGAAACTCCATCGGGACTCTCCAACGATTGTCCCGTCGGTCTCCTTGTTGATTCCGCTTCGTAGGTTTGGGAGAATCGAGCTATTCGCGTCAATGAGGATACTTCCCGACTAAAGTGTCGAATAAGGAATCAATGACTATCCGAACAAGTCACAATCTCACAACCAGGACACCATGGAAGAGGAATGAGCGGAACTTGGGAGCCTAGACCAACGGCTCCCAACGTTCGGAGCCGCTGCGCTTTCCCGGGGGAGCCGCGGAGAGATTTCAGGTTCAGTTCAGGCTCCGAACATTAAAGGTTCGACATTCTCAAGGGAAAGTTCCGAAAGAGATCGTCCTCACCTGCCGGCTTCGAATTTCTTCTCTCGAGCCATGAATCCAGAAACGGATCAATCGAATAGCATCGGAAGCTCATCTCTTCCTCCAAGGAAAACGCAATTCGTCGAGGGGGTGAATGGGGGTGATTCGCTTCGCCGAGATTTCCGGAAAGCTTCCCTGCTCAGGCAGGCTTCCTCTGTCCACGCCTATATCTTGTGAATTCCCGAATTGAAAACGCGAATGTCTTTTCTCGGCGGAAAAAGAGGAGGAGCAAAAAGGGAGCCGCAATGGTCTCCTGGGCTTCTGGGCAACCCGGCAGCCGTAGAGCCAGAAAGGATGGGAAGCGCTGGCCTGGACCATATGGGAAAGCTGAGAGGACCAGGGTTCCCGCACTCCTTGCTGTTTTGATCAACCAAGGAGCTTCGACTCGGGGCGAGTCGGTGATTCTCGCGAAGATTCCCCCGCGAGCCGGATCTTGAAATTTTCTGCGGCCGGAGGAGGGAATCCGTGTGATGCAACTCGGGCTCCCCAGCAATCCATGAGCTCAACCTACGATGAGGCAGCCGTCTCATCCGCCGGCAGATCGCAGGCTATCCCCCGGACCCCTCGGACCGTTTATCTTCTATAACTGACCGAGGGATCAGATTGTAGTCTTGGCGCGGGAAATGTGGACAAAGCTCGGGCTAGGTCGCGGCACGTGCTTCCATCCTCGTTTTTTCTTTGTAAGAGGTGCATTCTCGGAACTCATCACGCGGATCGTCTTGGAACCTAGCACCACGTTGGGAAACCTGGGAAACACGAGACGGAAGCGAGGGATCGACATCCGTCAGCTCAAAAAACGAATACCCAGTCTTCGGATCGAGTCTCTCTTTCGCGAGCGTTCTCCTTGGACCCCGACTAACTAAAGACTCAGTGGTCATTGGCTATTCGATTGAGGATCGAGAGGTCGGCAATCCGTACGGGGTTTGCATGTTTCCATCGCCAATCACTTGGTCACACCGAGCCGTTGGCGAAGTGTCCGACTGGGCTGTCAATCCGGGATTCTCCAAGGTGCGGATCGAATCATCCTTCGGTCAGACAAATGACGGCTCCCTTCCTGATTTGATGGCGTCGCTCGATTCGCACGACTGCCGAATAGAGGATGAATATTGTCCATATGTTTCATTTTTAATGAGCTCGAGGTGGGCATCGGGGATTTGAGATCCTGAGGGAGCGCCACGACCAGGAAGCAGACTCGTTGCGCAGCGTCCGAGAAATTATATGTTCCCTCCAGAGTATCATATCGTTCGATTCTCACGGATCCTTAATATCAATGGAAAATTGCTGCCAGCTGCAAACTCGGGTCCGTGCACCAATCGGTCTGGCGCTCTCGTTCGACGATTTCCTCGGTCGAATGATGAATGCATGGGCTGCGCTAGGCGATGAATGGACTTCGGCTGGGGCATTTCCGTCCAGCGAGTCAAGATGTGGCCTCATCCCACTCGTAGTCGTTGAATTGGAAATAATCTCTGAGTAGTTCTGGTATCCCTTGAGGTGGAACCTCCATCGGCTCCCTTCACGCTGGGAAGTCTCGCGCGATGAAATTTCGCACAGAATAAACCGTTCAGCGATTCGCCCTGATTACTTCAGAGACTTCGGATGAGCGCTTGAAATATCATTGCGCCCCGTCAACGCCTCCAGCATTTGTTCCAGAGCTTCTTAGCTTCTAGTGAGACGAGAGCGAGCAAGCTGCTCGGATTTCGGCTAAACGCGACGGATCAGAAGCCGAGAATGGTCGGGCTGCCAATCCCTAGCGACTCTTCAGCCACGGCTCCAGATTGGAGTGATGCAATCGCAGTCATCGGGGTTTCGGCCGAGCGACCAGCGGCCGAAATCGTGCGGATTCACTATGTGCCCGCTCGTTACAGGCTCTAGAGTACTTTCTATCATTCGAAATTCACGTTCCGATCACCGTGACTCGCTCTTCGAAATCTCGCTTACTGCTCTCGTTCGGCTCCAGGCCCGGAGCTCCATAAGATTCCAACGAGGATCCCCGCTTCTACTACGCTTGAGGTCTGGCCGTCAGCACGAGCTACGTCGTCGGAAGACTAGCTAGGAAGCTCATCGTTCTCGTTCCCCGCAGCGTGTTTGCCGGGCTCACTCGGAGCGCCACGCATGCAAGCAGATTAAATGACTTCCATGAAGCCGGGTCAACTCACCGATAGAGTAGAGTCTCGCGAGTCCGGCATTATTCTTGACTAAATCCGACAGTCGTTCGATCGAATCGTTGAAAGAAAGATATTTTCTGGAGAAGACGAGTTCGCCAGCTCCACTTTGGCACTCCACGACTGTCCATGGGAAAGCAATGGATAAAAAGAGCACACAAGTTAAAAGCACCATGGTGTCGAGGTGCGCATCACAATATCATCCCGGTTTTCTAGTTTCTACAAGCGGCAGTTCTCCCGGATCACTCTGTATGTGTCTGTGTGTCAACAAAAAATCGAGACTGTCTTGGTTGACAAGTGTAGCAGAGAACGGTAGCAGCTAAGGAGGACTCGGCACAACTTCGAAACCGGGACTAGCGGTTCCGCGAATCAAGTTGGATCGGGAAAATGCGAAATCTTTCCCGAACCTAGTGAGCTGGGGAAGTCTTAAGAATCGAGATCTGGTATCCAACCGTCGAAGCTTTTGAGTTGATTCCGTCGACGGACGGACTGCCCTTCTGGTGAAGCTGTACCTGTACCGTAGGAGTTCCGTTACTTTAGTGTCGTCATCATCTTCAGTGACATCAGCTGTCATGTTCGAAATTGTGCCTAACGTTCTCCGGGTTCCGAGTTGTGATCGCCGCAAAGTTGCCTGGCCGGAAATCCGTGTCTGGCAAGCGGACCCCCTTTGGCGTTGTGAGGACGCAATCGTGAGTTTCTGGTTTTGGCAGAAAGTCAGCTGGTATAGAATTCCCAGCCCTGGATTGCCTGATGTTCGGGAATACTGTGGACGGCGAGCCTCGAACAGCCTGCGCAGATGTTCTTCGCGGCGCACAAGTGTCACTGCTCAGCTGATTCGACAGAGAGCCGAAATCGCCGAGTACGGGACACATCGGACGGCAGGCATGCCTGAGAGCTTTCTGTTCCCGAATTCGATTGCTCCCTGCGATAGAGGGATCGCCCTTCCTGATTTCCGATGCCGCGAAGAAATTCCCGGTAATCCGTCCGAATTCCCGGCTACTGTGCCGATTCTTGAGCTCCGGTTTCATCTTCTTCTCCGACTCATTGCATTCTTGTAATCGAACATGGTCCCGACCGCGGCAGCTCCGTGATTCTCAGGGTCGTTGGGTAGGTAATTGGCTCGGCTGCGTTGGTGGGATGACTTCCTGTCCACAGGTGCCTCTGCTCTCGTGATCTGTTTTGCGATGCCGGCATCAATGTTCCTTTCTTACGTGATTTTCCATGTTAATTTTGAGAGTCATCTCGTGCAGGAACAGATGTAACTCCCAAGTTCGCGGAAACCTTTCCATCGGATTGCCATGGAGTCAGTTCCCCTAGGGAGCTAGAAGGTTTCCAGAAGAATTTTCATCGAGTTATGGTCACAGTCGTTGATCCCGACGAGGGACAGAGGACAGGATTGGCTCGATTAGATGACTGTTCCCAAATGAAGAACGAGAGACTTCCTCGTTCGTTCGATACCCTCGATATTCTGAGACCCTAAGAAAGTCAATTCATTGTAGGTTCTCGCTTCTTGCTGTCACATCGGGAATATGACGTCAAAAAGACACTCGGTGGCATTCCGGCAGCTGCGACTTGATACACAGGATCGCATCCCGTTAACAGATGTTCTGAGCGGCTAAATGCTTGACCCCGGGAACACACATCATGAACAAAAAACGTCGGATCAACGCGACGATGGTGTCTAGTCTGCTGAGTCCGTGGATTTCTTCAATTAAAGTCGTGCTCGGACTTCAGCCACCTGTTCTACTCTTTACCTTTTGCCTACTGGCTTTCGGGATCTGCATGTTGTCGATGTCAACAGACCTCGAGAACCGCACCCTTCCCAATCCCGACGTTGTTTTGGACTGGAACGAGTTCATGTCGCGTCTGTCTAGGCTGCATTATTGTGTGATGCCACCCACGCGGAGTGCAGCGCCCGTCGCAGCCCCTTCAAAAAATGCGTCTACTACGGGGGATCAGCCCAAAGTCCAGGTGAGTGTATCAATCGATGAAGAAGAGCCCTTTGGTGGGAGCTCCTTGGACGAATCGAACGCATTCCAACATTCACCGTTACCCTCGTTCATCGGCATGCCCAGAGGGAAAATCAGAAAATTCTGGACGCGCCCCGGCTGGAGACTCGACAGCTCCTCGCAATGAACTTCTCTAATCTCCATAGGTCGTCGATGAAGGGAAATCCTTGGCTGCTCTATTGCCAGATTTCGATCTGCATTTGGGTCGAGCGAAGAATGGGTCACCCCCACATCCGAAAGCAAACGTCACGGTGGCAGTATCCATAAGGGCGGCTTTCCACGAAGACATACTGTCCGAGCCGATGTCGTGGCACGCTGTCGCGACCGGTGATATGGTTCGTTCAGAAAATCGTTCGAGCATCGATTGATCCAGTACTCGAAACAGCTCAAGATGGTTTCCATCTTCGGAGTATCACGATCCCTCTCAGCATTCATCCGCCTTCATTCTATCCGCAGGTCGGGTGTCGCGGACCCTTGGCGAGAGAGAACTTTCAGCTGGTCATGTTACTATGGCCAGTACGCCCGGGATCTCAAGATAGAATCGATCCGCTGTCCCCCGGGATGGTGAATACCGAGGCGTGTATCATCATACAGGGTCCGACTGAAATACTGCCCAAGACGAGAGCACCTTCCCGCTGTTATCTGAATGCATTGCCTCCTCAGGTACCGTTCTTGTCGTATTCGACTGATACTAGCTCTCAGATTTATATTGGAGACTTTCTTGGAAATGACTCCGTTGCTCCTCATCAGGTGACTCGTGAGATAAAACTGCAGAGGACAGCGGCCGACGTTCAGGGTAAAAAAGGCGACATCTGCACGCTGGGCCGATGGACGTCTTTCACGTATAAACCGGACGCGGCTCTCCAAGTACTGCTGTCCCGAGCGGATCTGCTGCTCGTCAAGGAGCGGCTCCGACGTTGCGGCATATTTTTGATAGCGATCTCCATACTGATCATTCTCGGTGCTGTTTTGAGTTCCCATTCGAGTCCTCGTCGGTACATGCCCCACTTCGTCTATCGAGCTCCTCATTCCTGAATGTGGTTTATAGTTTCCTCCCGTCGCGACTATTGCGAGCTGATCTCGACACTTTTTTTCGTTAATGGTTGAGCCGAGGCCAAAAATTTTCTCCATCGGAACGAACGAGCGAGAAAGCTGACTTTGTTTTTATTATTACTCCGTCGGATGCGGAAAGAAAGTGTGAATAAAAACTCCGTCCGCAGGGTTCTGTCGAACTTTGTGTACTCAGGAACTAATTTTCCGACGGTGGTGCCGAAGGAGTCTGAGGCGTCGAAAGTCGACCGGTATGCGTCTGCGCGAGCAGACCCGGCGTGGAGCTCATCTCGGATCCGGAGCTGGAACCGACGGTGACGCAACAATTGAGAGGATCGGAGATTTTCTCTCTGAAACTCCCTCCTCCGAGGAGCAAAGAGAGTCGATCGACGCTGGAATTTTCACCACAAGACCCGTGCAGCCTGCCCACTCTGATAGCATTCGCGAACGTCGCAATTAAGCAAAGATCCAGAGTACCTCGATTCTCGCACCCAGGATATTCACCGGGATGGAGGATTTTCACAGATGGATATGTAGCTTTCAATCGAACATCAGTGACATCAGGACTCGTGATGAAAATCGGAAGAAGTGTCTGACTAATGGTGAGGAAAAGGCATGTATTTCGTCTTCTCAGCTCGAATGTTGTTCTGGTGTACTCCCAAGGAACGGTAGGATTCCCATGACGGATGAGATACGCTCGGACATTCCATGGACTCCGACACAGTATTTTAGAAAAAGGATGTCGAGAATATAGCCCGGGGGTTTCGAAGTTCGGGTTGGCCGCGAGCTTCTACGGCGCTGAAACGTGGCCCGCCAGGTCCATTACATAATTCTGGCGCCCCCGATTCAGGACCTACCTCTATCGTAAATTGGCGGAATTCCGAGTCATCCAAGCGTCTCCGGACAACGACGAGGGAGTTTCCCGATCCAGGACCTACCTCTATCGTAAATTGGCGGAATTCCGAGTTATCCAAGCATCTCACGACAACGACGAGGGAGTTTCCCGATCCAGGCTTTAAATACATAGTCATTTATTTTCGTCGAGGAGCTCATTCGACCTATACACATCTGTACACTCATATATCGTATTCACAATGGCGACGGCGATCCCGCGAAAGTTCTGTCTAATCTAAACCGGAATTGAGAAAAACTAGGACAATAGGAATGATGAAGCCAACTTTCGTCATTTCGGCAGTTATAGGAACCGATGCACCGCGGACAGCGCTTTTCTCCTCGTTGGGTAGAATATCATTGCTAGCAGGCCGCAATCGAAAAGTTTTCAAGGGTAGGCAGTTGCTCCGCTCCCCGGCCGCACAGTCGCACAGATGTGACGGCGAGCGTGATAGAGGCGAAGGAAAACACCAATCGGAGCTGCATGGCTTCCTGAGACAACTATTCATAGGTTCCGGTCTCGTGGGGAATTTCGCGCTCTGGATTATGGCAATGGACTTCGGCGAAGTTCCCTTGAATGATTGAACTGTGGACTCCCGTTGAGCACCTACCGAGTATCCGGTGCGTCCTATAGTGACTATCGAGTCCGAGTTTGCAACTCGGTACGTCGCGTAAAGGAGATCTTCAAAGGGCTCTAAACGAGTGTAGTCAGCAGAGCCTGTCATTATCACGGCTCGCTGGCCGTCGTAATCAAAGCTATAGAGTACCCTGTTGTGTATGTAATAAACGTATTTCAGATTGGGATCAACTGCCAACACCTCGATGTCCGGTAGGTCGTCAGCTGGGAGTGCGGTGAAGATTATATTCGTCGATTCGATTGATCCGTCTAGATGGCTTCTCCGAACGCGTCCGAATTCGCTGTGGAAGAGATAACCAGCCAAGGGATCGACCGCGATGCTCGAGATGTTGCCTCGGTGTTCTATGATTTTTACTGCGCGGCCAACGATGTCGATCACCGATACCGAGTCCCCCGTCAGAACATAAACGCGGTGGTTCTCCCAGTCGGCGGAAATTTTCCTGATGTCACCATTGGAAAAATCTTCGTCGTTCCCGAAATCGGCCAAGATGAGCTTGGCCCCGACAGCGATCCTGTACTCCCACACTTGCCGCCGCGTCGCGAATATCACAAGGCCATTGTCAGCGCTCAGATCTACGATTTGATCCGTACACCTGAAATCGACTCGAAATTGGCATCTGAATTGCTCGAAGTGATAGACATCCAAGATTATTGATCTCCGCCGGTAGATATCTTTCCTTTTAGGAGGGATATCGTCATTTATCATTATTCCTTCTGACTGATATGAATGGTGTCCGGAGCTCAGTAACTCACTCAAATTCTTGGGTTTGAGTCGCGCTGCGGAGTTCGAAGATGTGGATTGATGTCCCGTTGTCGATGGCCACCAGGGGCTGCTCGCCGATAGCTTGACACACATCCTCTCGAATATCCAGTCGCCGCTCGTGATTCAGCGGACATTCACACGAATAACTTCCGACCCGATTGAAGCATGCGCCGCCGCTGCACGGATTGTGCTCTTCACATTCGTCATAGTCGGCGCAGAGGAGCAGTTTCCTGAACGTTTCGGACTCATTGTAAACAGCGTTTGCGGTGAACAAGCGCGGATCTCTAAGGCTAGCTCCGTAGCCTTTTGGACAAGCTACACATTCGAAGCCATTAGCGCGATCGACGCACGCGCCTTTCCCAGCGCAGACATCCACCTCTGGATTTTCGGTGCACTCGTCTATATCTTCACACTGGGAGTTCCTGAAGCGCTGACCTGGAGCGCAATTGACACACACTGACGTCGCGGAGCGACGATCTTTCTGGCATTTGACGCCTCGAGGGCAATCTCTGTTCCTCACACAGGCACAGTTCGCCTCATCCCAATTGTCGCTGCAGTCTTGTTCACCATTACAAATCAGACGGCGGTTCAAGCATCTGAAAGTCGTTTCGTTGGCACACTGGAAGAAGTTTTCGGCTCCTCCGATGCAGTATTTGGGCTGGGCGCTTTGACCTCGAGCTAGAGCGAAGCAGAGGGCGAGCAGCAGATACTTCATGGCTTACATTGATCACCTGAAGTTCAATCCCTCATGATCAAACATGAGGAAACGTAAGGGTCTGGAAGGAATTCGAAGGTAGGAGGAGGAAGAACAGCAGCGAACCCTCACCTTTGAAGTCTAAGTCTCCGAGCACCTGCCTCTCTCCGAGCCTAGAAAGGAGGAAAATGCTGTCAGATGGACTAGCGATGCAATCGGATGCCGGGGCAGAAAGAATTCGAAGTCTAAATCTAGAAATCTCTGTCGGGCCCCATGACCCTGAGATCCGAAGGGAAGCGGTACCCTCGAATCTTTTCACCGGAGTATCAATCCCCCGGATGAGCGAAGAAAAAGCATCGAGGAGCTTGGCGTTTCAGGCACTGGATACCCGCAGGATAGGCAGCAAGAGGCGCAAAAAACTGGCGAACCGCATTCGAGTCTCGCGGTGCTTGGTGGAAGCTGGTAGTGGAATGTGAGACGATCGAAGCGATCTGTATTATTCGAGGAATCCTCTCGATCGTCCATGAACTCTACGGGACCTGACAATATGTTCAGCGGAGACCCGCCCCGGCACAACGCAGAATCGCTCGTCGGGACTCATGACCACGGGAGAAAACGCGGTCGGGGTAGACAAAATGCCAACCGAGAATCATATTCCAAATAGAAAAAAAATGTCAGTGGAAATGCGTTCTCAGGGGCGTTGAGCGTTATGAATGAAAAGCCTTGCCCTAGTCATGAGTAATGAGTCGAGCAAATGTCGGACTGAGCGGAGGACGCTCGGCTGAACGTCATAGGAACAGCCACGTTAAGCCAACGATTCACGACTTGATTCACTGGAGAGGTCCGTTCGCTCGGTCAAGTGTTCCTGTCAACGAGCGCCGTCAAAAGAATTCTCAACGAGTCGAAAAAAGCGTATCTATGGAGGAGCGGGCTGCCGCGTCGATAGGTGGTACGGCTGGCTCGCTCGGTCACCAGATTCAAGTTCAGATCGTTTCCTGCTCCGGACAATAATGAATTCGCCATTGAACGTCAATAGTGAGACTACGTGGACACGTAATGGCACTCGACGAAGTGACTTTTGCCTAATGAGCCGATTTCCTCATCAAGACGAGCCCTCTTCAACTAGCCGGTAATCACGAACGCAGGAGACCGGGGCGTCCACTTGCCGTCACGGTCACAAAGCACCACCAGGATCCCGAGCACTCTCGACAGTAAGTCGTCAAATAGAGACAGTATGTTCCATCTAAGCTTTTCTCGTCACACTTATTCGAGCCTCGAAAGTCCATCGCTCCGTGGATGCGCATACAATAAAGAACATAAGTTGAATATCCGTGTTACGGAGCTTATCATAATGAGAATTTATCGATCTTACAACGCGCGAGACTAAGCTCGCTTCAGAAATTTGCCGATCGAGTCAGTCTCATGTTCATCCGCCCCTAGGCAATGAATCTCGTTGATCAGGCCGGTGCGGTGCCACTTTAGGCTCGATTAACGCTCAGGGAGCGAGAAATTAGAGCTGGGGACCGATTGACGTAATCGGGTTCCTCCGCGGCGGGATCGGCAACGCTTGTCAAGAGAAAAGACGATGTTACAATCGTCTTTCTTGTGGCGCAGAGACCTATGAGAATTAGGTCTGATGTATTCGAGAGGAGCGACTATCTATTCACCGGGAGATCCTCGGATCGGAAATATATCGATCAGCAGATTCTAAACATTTTCCGGATTGTAGGAATTTCGAGAGGTTCATTCGGTACCGGCTGCCGCCGGAGGATCCAAGTTCCCGCCCGGGTCCCTCCCGGCACAATGATGCAGTTCTCGATCTCGATCTAAACTCGGAAGCTCAAATGAGCGTGGTCGATTCCGAGTTCCGAGGATGCCGGTATACACTCAATACAGAGATACAGACAAACGAAAAATGCATCCGGCTCAGTTGAACCACTCCGAAAGTCTCCTCGCGGGCAAACGTTTTACAGATGTAGTTATGCCACATATCCAGCAACAGACATGCGCCAACAGTTGCGCGCTTATCTGTGACAATGATAAGCGCCGCTTGAGATTCGTCGTGTCCATACAGCGCCCCCCCCTTTCCAACCGCTGAAAATTTGTGCCTTTGAAAGGGCTCTAGTCAACGTGCTAACGAACTTTTGTATCTCCCACTCGGTGTGCGTATGTAGTCATTCAGATGTGGAGCCTTCAGTCAGAATAGAGAACCATTGATCGCGATTCCACTATCATAATGATCGCAAATCGGCAGACTCGGCCTTGAAACTCCCGATTACGATTGCTTGTGAGCCCGAAACTTGAAAGCCCACACGAGAATACGGCCAAGGGCCTGACGAATGACTTCAGGCATCGCGCCAAACCTCATTCTGAAAGCCTCAAGCTCGATAATCATCCCAAGACGAAGCTCTGCTCTGAGCACTGGGAACAATATCGACGGAGTGACTTATGCTCTCAGAGACATCCTGTGCATCACTTTCATGACTTTCAGCTTGTCTTGGTCGAGCAGAGGGTAAGAATTGTCTTCATTTTTTGCTCTCAAACAGCTCACAACATCCCGTTCACTCTGGTAACAATGCCATCGTGTAATCGCTAACGGAAGAAGGCTCGTCGATGACCGTGCCCGTGTCGAGGAGGAGAGCATAACGAACGAACGAAAAATTAGTTTTTCGAGAATTGCTTCTTTTTTTTCGTTTGTTCTAGCATCGATAACGCGGAAGCGAGATCCCCGTTCGTGACATGGTCCGCCGTAGAGTGGTCCGCCCCAAAACAGATATGCAAGGAGCTCATCAAAAGCTCAGAAGTTCAAATTCTCCTCTGAATGCTCCGTTCAGCTCCGCGTATGACTCCGCCTCGATGAGCCGCGAAGATCGAGAGCTTGGTCCGCGTGAAGATAAATGTGACTCGGGAAGACGTCTTAAGTCAGAGGAAGAAGAAACATCATTCACCGCATTGTAAATAACGCTTACTTCAACTGTGAGGACCATGACTCTGCGACAGACAATGAGCGAGCTCTGCTGTCGAACGAACTTGGGATATGAATGTATGTTGTCTCCGTGCGTTCAAGTGCACCAGAGCTGGAAGCGAATGGATGGCTGTATTTTGAAGATCGCTGGAGACATAACATCTGACAAGTTAGTCTTGACGCGACAGCCCGTCTTGACATCAGAACCGTCACATCGCCGGACGGCTGAGCCGTCCACCATCACGGGACTTTCCCATGCGAAAATCTTCATTTGGAGATGAATTTGGTCCGTCCATCCGCCGATTGGAGCTCATTGGCCGACGAAGAACCGGAAGATGATATAAAAGTCCGGACTTCGAAATATGAGCCTTAGGAGGATTGATACCGATCGCTGTGAAGGCCGAGAAGGTTTCTCGTGTGGGGGAGCGGCACTGCTCGGAACGGATAGCGGTAGTTCCGAGTCCTCTCAAGGCTTATTGTTCTCGACCCAAGAGCGATGATCACATTCGTCTCCTCCTCTGACGCTCTCAGATGCTGTTTTCGCCGATAAATCGTGCATGCTAAATACGTATGTAGCATCCACACATGACAAGATGTCGTAGATCGTTCCGTGAAAGAGAACGAGGATCTACGATGATCCCAGATGGCATCGGCCGGTATAAAGTCGACAGGCATCACAAAGGATAAGAATTTTACGAGAAAGTTTCATTCTGCGAGAAATCGACTGCTGACTCGTGGATGTATTCGATGCGGTTTCTGGACCGACCGTCCGCCCGTCCGTCCGCCAGTCTGACGCATCAACTAGCTGCCCGAGTGGATAAGTCGTCGTCGGCGGCGGCGCCCACGGCGAGAAAGACGCGCAGATTTATTGTGAGACAAAACGGCCTCCTCTAGTTGGTCCAGAAGGCTCGAGAGGCCGAACTCGGAGAATTGACTATTTCCGACTCCCGCGAGCAAGGGAGTCGAGCCAGCTACACGTCTCGAATACGGGAAACACTGTCAGTTAACGGAATGAATCGGGTCGGAGCACTTTCTCGACACTATCGACGATTCACCGAGCTCACTCACTCTTCCCCGCGCGCGAGCAGGAAGATTCCCCGAGTACTCGCGACGTCGCCGTCGCTCCAAAGATCGAAAGTCAGACGCTTCGCGAGAATTCGGGAGGCCAGCCCTGTAGCAGAACCAACGGCACCCGACAACATTGTTCGACCGATAGCCTAAGTACCTTCTTTATCAGACCGTTTAGGTGCGCTAGTTGTTTTCGGGCATGCATCGACATGTCTCCAAAGCTCACCAACGCGCGAATTTCCTTGAGAAGGCGTCAGCCGTAAAAGAAACGAGACATTGCAAGACGAGCTCACGGCAGCAGCTCTGACGAGATAATCCTAAAGCTCAAGACTCGAGAACGGCGCTGCTAGTGGGACTTTGGAGCCTTCTATAAATTTAATCACTCGCTCGGTAGCGATGCCATATTGTTTTACCTACTTTGGATTCGAGTTCCCCGTACCAAAAAGCAAAGCCTAAACACGGGGAGCTATGTGCGATTTTCACCTGGCAGGCGGGCTTGTTTCGCACCTTCGCACATCCGGAAGCCCGTTCCCCGGACAGGCGCGGCATTCCTCCGCAATGACGAACATCTGCCTAGTCTGTACCCATTGCAGACATCTTTGTTCGGAATCATGACCGTTCCGAAAAGAGTGTGCTCATAAAAAAGGGATGAGGACTCTTCTAACTTCGTTCGGTCAGTGCGCGTGACCTGGAACAATACCGTAAACGGCATCGAAGATCGGGCAAGGGACTTGGAAAAGGCCAAAACAATCCACAACGATCCCAGGGTCTTCAGAAGATGGCTGAAGATGGTTCGGATCAGAGTCGTGATCCGTGCTTCCTTCAGCCTGATTAGGTCGGATGCTCTCAAACCGGCAACAATAATTTCGACCGATTGATCGAACTCGTTCTTTCATGGGAGGTTTTCTCTTACATCGTCGAATTGATCGCAGAGTCGATGATAAGTGCGTATGTTCACTTCAAGGAGAATGACTGTCGTACGACGTAC